ACCAGATACACAAGGTCTTTCCTTCCCCAAGGTTCTATACACAGTAAGGTCTTCTGAGGAGGCCCAAAACAGCTGAGTTGTCTAAAAGACTCTTCAAACTGTCAGGCTGCCTATAAACCATGCAGTGAATTGTAGGTCTATAACTTTCCTGAGCAATTACCCATGCTGTGGTGGATATTCTTACTTTCTGTTATTTCTCTTCCTCTAGATAACCCCAAACCCGTAAGGAACAATACTCACTGGTTCACCAAGCTAGACTTTGGTGGTGTCCTTACTGCTTCCTCAGTGGGATGAGTAGGTGTTTGTTTCTGTCTCCCCAGGAATCATGTCATATAATAGTCCCTTCAGAGAACCAGGTAGAGTACAGCAAATGTTATGCTTTCCTCTCTTACAGAAGAAAATCACATACAAAATCCAGGATTCCTTTGACCTTCCAATTGCAGTCAGAAAGCCATTTTTGTGTGAGGCTCACTATAAGGAAATAATACAAAACATGAGACATGCTCTTTGTAAGAAAAGATTCTCAGTGTTGCTATTTGTAGAGCCAAAAATTAGAAACAAAGTAAGAGAGAATAGAGAAATGGCTAAATAAGTAGAACATACTCTTTACCTTGCACATGCATGATACAATATACAAATAAATCCCAACATTGAATAAAATACCCATTCAGAAAAAGAAAGCACCAATCTCATAGCTTATGCCTCATGAACATAACTTCATATTCCTTGTCCACTAGCATTAGTCTATTCTCCCGGTAATTTCTTGTCCACCAATATAACTATTATTCATAAAAAGAACATTTCAACAAACCAATAAACTCTTCAGTAGAAAGCACCAGTTCCAAGTTGAAGAGAAGGGAACATGGTAGCTTCACTGGGAAGCACCACAGGCCAGAAGATAGATCTTGTGGAACCTGGGTTGGCTTGGAACTTACTTTGTAGCCCAGATTGGAATCAAACTCTCAGCAATCTAAGAGTTTAAGATGTCAACTGCTAAATTCTCTTCAGATTTACAGGACTCAGAACACCTGCTCACCTCTGTAATCTCTCCCTCCCTTAGTCTTTGGTTCAATTCACCAGCTAACAAAATGTAAATTTGCAGAAAACTCACATTTCTGTCTAAAAAGTGCTGTAGGAGCCAATCACAGGGTGAGGTCCACTGAGACATTCCCAAGAAGGCAGAGTCATGCTGTAAGAGCCCCTTAGAACACAGTCCTCCCCACCTGCCCCACCATTTCTTACCTCCTGAGCTCTCTGTGTTCCTAAACTCACCAAGATGGAGCTCTGAGGTCAGTGGTCTGTTCTCGTTAGATGCTAGCCTAACCAACATGTCCACCACACTGGGTATCATGTTGGGAATAATGCCGACCTAATTTTAGTCACAAGCTCCCAGTTTTGCTGGAAAACAATTCTGAACCTTAAATAAAACTCCCAAATGTGAATGAAATTGTGTTCTTACTACTCTGACAATTGTCAAGATGGGGCTCACTTCTTTGTGGCAGTGAGCAGTAAACTCAGTGCTGTATCAGTCTGGGGAATGAACACTCAACAGTGTAAACCAGGCTTTGGGTACACTAAATCTGAATCCCACTTACCATCTTATGCCTATGCAGAACTGGGTGTGCATGGTTAAAGTGAGATGCATTAGGGAAGGGAATGTCTATCTAACTGGCTATCTAAATGGCTGTCAATACAAACAGAATTCCCTCACCACACCCCTTTTCTTTAACTCTATAAAAGGAAGCCCCAAACAATAATTGGGGCCCTTGAGTAACCTTATGGTGCTTGTGGCTTGCTATCATGGTTTTGCTTTAGATAAAGTTTCCTTGCTACTGTTGCAAATTTTGTGAGACTTTACTTTATTTAGCCCTTTGAGTAAGAGGCCAAGAATCTGGGAACATCCACCCTAGACCTGAACATTTGTTAAAAAATAAAACAAACAAACAAAAAACCTAAAGAACCCTTTCTCTATGATTTTCTTATAGAATTATGACCATGTTTCAGTATTCAGACATTTTGATATAAACCACCCTGTAATGTGTAAAGATAATACAATACAGTACAACTTGTTATCCTCCTTGTTGTCTTAGGTGGAAGGGTCAATAACAAACCAGAGAGAAACCTACTTAGGCAGGAATCTGAGCTATTCATATTGTAACTATGCACAGAGAGCTGAAACACAGGCTTAATTCTACTGATGATGCTCACAAATCTTGTTGTTAATATTGAGAAGTACTTGGGATACTGACAAAGACCTCAAATGGGTTTTGGTGTTTAATAGGACAGCAGTTTATCATTGACTTACACAAATGGAAACCCATCACAGCATGGATGCGTCTCATGAAACTAAAGGACAGACTTCAGTTAACAGAAATTTTGCAGTCAATGGGTTTTCAGTGATTATGGAATATATGGCCTACCATCTTGTCAAAGGCAGGACAAAGGGGTTGGCATGAAGATTGTACATGTCATAGCTGGTGGAGGCAGCATTCAACTATTGCCTTGTCCACCTGGCAGTTACCTGTTTTGAGTCAAGTTTTCTAACACAGACAAACTTTGATGGTTTGATTTGCTAAACCGGCTTTGGTTAAACTAATTAGCGTTCAGCTGCCCAGGTAAATGTTATCTTCTCCACAGGATAGTAACTTACACCATTAACTTTTCAACCTTTGTTCTCTATGGCATGAATGACCTGTGCTCAGAGTCAAACGGCGACAGAAATAGGAGCTCTCTGCAAAGCTTGCAGGACACATAATGATAGGACAGAGGAATTTATGCAACCACCATCCTAAGCAAAGCCACGCTGATGATCAGAATGAAGGCAGAAACCTTAAGATTAATCTGATAACTTTATTTAATATTTACCATTCAGCAGCAATCAACATGAACATCTGAACTAACAGAATCTCTTGAAATGTTCTGCTATATAGCTGCTTTAGAAATACACTTACATGATAAAGTCAACTATTCACTGCCAAAAAAAAAAAAAAATGGCTTCAAGAGCAAATAACACTGATTTATTCTGTGCCCAAGCACTAGTCAAGAAATCTACTAAATTACACAGGAAAAGGAAATCAAAGAGGCTTTGTTATCGTATGCATGTCATCTTACTTAAGGGAAAGATTTTACTTCTTTAAAACAACAGAAACATGGAGCTTCCTACATACATGTATATGAGTATGTATATATACTTTAGGGTGTGATTACAAACACAGAGTGTTATTATCAAATGCAAACGCTAGTTCAAGAAATTTCTAACTGCAAAACCTGCAAGATACAAAGCTAAAATTTATATGTTCCTTTCCTCAATTATGAATACTTTCACTAAACATAAATATTTTTACATATATTAATTTTCTGACATTCAAAATTGTAAAGTCAATATGGCAGAATTATTGTTAAAAGCACATATGTACAAATATTTTCCATACATAAAGTATTTGGCATAATTATAACAATCATACTGCATCCACAACTGTTTGCTTTTATTTTTACTTTTTTTTTACACATAATGGTATCTCTTATTAAAATTAACCAGTTATGTACAAAAATACTTGAACATTTATTATAGAAAACCTCTATAACCAGCCTCAACAGCATATACCTGCTGAATGGTTTCATTAAGAGAATATAAAAAAGTGGTCACTGCCTTCCAGATAAGCTAGCAACAAAAACAAACACAACTAAACTAAGATGAGCTTCCCAACAAAAGAGGGAAAATATTTAACAGCGTGATTTAAAATACAGTTCATATCTATTGTAAATTGAGTGTTATAAACAGTCAGTAAAAGAAAAAAACAAGGATAAGAAATACATTACTACATACAAGGTGCATTTTCACACTCCTACAACTGCCACATCAGCATGTCTAGTCTATCACCATCTAAGATGCTACATTGCCATATCCATGCTAGAACGGTCCACAATCCTCCTCCTCCAACAGAAGGACCAGGGGATGAGCTGAGAAGCTAAACTATCCTGGTAAGGATGGAGAGTTGGAAAAATTCTTTATTTTCTGCAGGATTGAATGTCAATGCCCTCACCTTCTCAAAGTCCTTTTAGCATTCAGTCATGCTAATATATTTCCACTAAGGTTTTTGTCTTCCTTCACACTATTGATTTAATACTGTCCTGTATTGATTCCCAAATCCTTGTTAATGGGACATAGTAATTTGTGTCCATTTAATCCTTGAACGTCTGTTCTTCATCTCCGACAAATTTTATATAGGTAATCATCAAGTAAGGAAGCACAAATTTCAAGTAAACACTTCTCCTTGGGGGGAGGGTTCTTTTGCTTAATCTAGCTAATTGGGACTCTGAAAGCAATTTGCACCTTGAAAAGTAATACAGTAGATAGCATAGTGTCAGGGCACTTAAAGATTTAGCAACCGATTCACAAAGCAAAGTTAAAGAATGTAGACAGCTGACAGACGTCAAAACAACTTCCTGTCCCAATCTGAGCAACTCTTAGGGATCTTGTCCAACCAGCTTGCTTTAACTTTTAATCCTGAGGATGTGCGCTCATCATTCTGCTCAAGGGGAGGGCCAAACCTTAATTACTAGGGTCTTCTTAAGGAAGGGCCGTTGTGTTAGGCTGTGCGCAGACACGATCAACTTTCTCAGAGTATCAAGTATTCAGAAAAAGGAATACAATATCATCTCGCATTGTGTTGCCTGACAATATTGTATTGGTTTTTAGATTAAACTATGTAAAAAAAAAAAGTGAACACAAAAAGGTACAAAAGGAGTCTTTTTCACTATTTACCACTTTCAAATGAGAAACGTTTTAATGAGACTCAGCCATACTTCATGTAACATCTGGCGTTTTAGATCAGTAACTTTTAATATTGTGCAACATTATATTAATAAGCAAAATTAATTCCATTCATTTAAGGAAAGGTCTGAGTAAGATATTAAAGTGCCTACACTAAATGTCTTCTCATCAGACTTATTTTGTAAACGGCAAAGAATTCATCATCGCAGGTACATAGAAAAGTGACTTAGAGCTGAGACACCTTGCGGGGCAGGGGTCTGGGCCTCGGGCCAGGCTCAGTCCTTCGGGTCCCATTCTCTAGGTGGCTGGATCTCGCAGCCAAGGGTTTGGGGGGCAGGGCAGGTGGCTCGGAGGTGACAGGGATGGAGAGGCTGTGAGGTAGCGGGACAGGGCGCCTCAGAGTCCGCTCGTAGACACTGTAGGGAGGCGGGGTTTTGCTTTCCTTGCGTACTGGCTCCTCCGACCCGCTGAAGCTGGGCACGGGCATGGGCACGGACACGGGCACGGGCCCGGGCATGGCCACCGACTGTTCATTTGCTTGGTTTTCAAAGCCTGAGGTTTCCGACGTACTACACCGGCTAAGCGATGAGATCCCACTGCTGTAGCTGCCCGACAAGACCGGGGAGTTTGAACTCAGTCCTGGGGAGTTGTACTCCACTGGAGATGGGGTAAAGGACTGTACTGAGCCCTGCTCCCACCAGAGGTGGGGTAATGAGAGAAGAGAGACTGCTGTTAGAGTTGTTTCCCCAAAACCGTGTGATGAAGCCCTAGCCTTCAGTGCCCGCTGGCTGGCTGTACTTGGAGACTTAAGCGACTATGACTTCCTTAAAAAGACATTGGATTTACAGGGAAATCTGCAATCCAGACACAGAGCAAAGACCAAGTGAACCTAAAGAGAGCAAATGCCCATCAGCAAGCCCCAGAGGGGAGACACAGACAAACCAAGTCTGCCAACACCTCTAGGAGGCATAGTAGACAAACCAAGTCTGCCAACACCTCTAGGAGACATAGTAGACAAACCAAGACTGTCAACACCTCTAGCCTCTAGGACTGAGGGAAAACATCATCTCCACCACCCAGCCTGTGGTAGTCTAGGATAGTTCAAGCTACGAAATGCCAGACGTAAATTTAAGTATTGCCTTTTGCAACACTGAAAATACACCCCAGAAGCTTATCTACCAGATGCCCGCCCATTGTCCCAGTTCACCTCACTGCCTGCTAGGCAGATGAGGTGGAGAGTAATTGGCGTCTGAACTAGGGGCAAAGAGCTTTGAGGGTGTGTGTGGCTTGGCCATGTGTCATGACTGCTGGACAGCGTGTAGGTAGCTGGGATACTCTTCACAATGGAGAAGAATCCCTGCACCTGGATCTCCTGTGACCCCCAGACAGGGAGCAAAAGCTGCAAACCGACAGCATTTGAACTTTTGCCTGAGGTATGGGTTGTTAAAAAGCCCGATTTAGTTGGTAATTTGTTAAAAATAGGGAAATTTCCACACAAAGCTCCAGATTTATGGCATGTCATAAGGAACTAGACACTTTGTAGCAACTGCCACTTGTTCTTATGAGGAAGCTGAGCAGGTGTTTTCTTCAGGTGGGGTGTGGGTACTTGAACATACTACAGGCCCCTCTCCTCCACACGGTCCAGCCAGCCTCCATCTAGTGTCAGTGATCTGTCCTGCTAGCACTGGAGCCTCCCCAACTCCCATCCCTCCCCAGCTCCCACCCCTCCCCAGCTCTCTATCCCTCCCTATGTCCTAAGGAATCCCTGTGAGTAGGCTCAATTGGGAAATGCTGCCCAGGACATACTCTTTGGGTATTCAAGCCCTATCAGCATGTTAAAACAAACAAACAAAAACTCACTAAACTTGTTTAGCCAGTGTTTCTTAAACTTATGTAATAGATCTTTCTTACTTATTACCTAATGTGTTTAAATTAATGATCTACAGAATATACTTTGCTATCCTGGGCTAACTTAACCTTTGTGTGTGTGTGTGTGTGTTCGTGTGTGGGTGTGTGTGGGTGTGTGTGTTTCTCTGCTACTCTCTGTGTGTGTGTGTGTGTGTGTGTGTGTGTGTGTGTGTGTATGCGCATGCAGGTGTGTGCATGTGACTGTGTATGGTTGTGTGTATTGAGTGTGTATATGGACATGTGTGAGTGCACATGTGTGCATGTCACTATGTGTGTATGGATGTGTGTGTCTGTGTGTGTGAGTGCACATGCGTGTCTGTGTGAGTGTGACTGCATGGATGTCAGTGTGCATGTGTATGGATGTGTGAGTATGTGTGTGTATGTAGGTAAGTGTGCATGTGAGTGTGTGTATATGTGTGAGTGTGTATGGATGTGTGAGCATGTGTGTGTGTGTGTGTGTGTGTGTATGTAGATAAGTGTACATGTGAGTATGTGTATGTGTGAGTGTGTATGGATGTGTTTGTGTGTGTATGTGGATATATGTGCATGGGAGTATGTATGTGTATGTATGTGTTTGTATGTGTGCATGTATGTGTGAGTGTGTGTGATTGTGTGTGTGTATGCAGGTACATGTGAAAGTCAGAGGTCGCTGGTGTCATTCCTCGGGAGTCATCCACCTTGTCACTAAGGATGCTGACTCTATCTCCCCAGCATGGGGATGGGTAGTGCATAACATAGCTACTTTTCTACATGGGTTCAGGGGACTGAACTTAGATCCTCATGCTCTCAAACACTTCATTGACTGAGTTACTTCTCCAACCCCTAGTCTCTTTTTTATAAAGAAATAATGCAGTAGGCACAAATCCTTCCATTTAATATGAACATACAGTTAAACATGGTGAATTATGAGATCCAAACTCACCTATATTTTTTCCAAAAAGTGATCTCAACTTCAAAATAAGACTGGTAAGTTCAGTCATCTGTAAAGGGTCAATGCTAATGTTTTTTTTGGGGGGGGGGTGCATCCTAAATTCTATCAAATAAGATATTGAAGTATATTCCAGGCATAGGAAAGCTTGAAACTTGGGAGTAGTGTGCCCTCTAAAGTAACCTGGGAGTTATAGCACAAAGTATGACCTCCCTCTCTCCCTCCCTTCCTCCCTCCCTCCCTCCCTCCTTCTTCTCTCTCTCCCTCCCTCCTCCTCCTCCTTCTTCTTCCTCTTCCTCTCTCTCTCTCTCTCTCTCTCTCTCTCTCTCTCTCTCTCTCTCTCTCATCCTTTAAGCTCCATTTATACAGACATGTTTACATGACTGCTTCTGGCCAGTGAGAACACATGCAGAACCATTCTAGGTCAGTACAGACCAGCTTGCTAACTAGAGCTATTTATCAGTTATGTGAACATTTTCCAGCTAGGCTTCCTTAGTCTTTAAGAATTTAAACTCTCCATTACTTATTGTCTTATTTCTACTCTACAAAATGGAACTGGCCACCCCACAGATGGTGATTCCCTCACAGCGTATAGGAGTGGTATGAAGATTCAGAGGAGCCATGCTGCTTTCCTTCCCACATCCGGGCGATGATGAGCAATGGCCTCCAAGGCAAACACTGTCATATGGACTTTATGATAACAGTCACACTCAGAGTGACAGCAAAATAATTTACACTTCCCAGCAAAATTTGACATCAGGAATTTTGGCAATGAAAACAAAGTGGCACTTCTTTGAGGAATTTTCCTCTTTTGGTGTTGTCTCTCTGTTCCCATCAGAGACTATCCTAAGCAGGGAGTCACAACCTGTTCACAAGTGTTTGTGGAGACCAATTTGTCTTTTCATCTCAGCTAGCACTGTCTTATCAACACAGAGGACATAAGGTGTGGAAAACTAAGTCATTGGTACAAAACCATCTTTTGAACACTCATTCCAATCTCTTGTTTGCTCCTGGGCTTGTGGTTCTCAACACCACCCTTCTCTAGTGTGCCGACAAGCCTTGTAGCCAGTCCAACTGAGTCTGCAGAGAGCCTACATAGTATTCTTTGATCTCATGAGGGATTAGTATGTTTAGAGATGGTAAGTAGCCTGGATATATACTAGTTCAAACATCTGACATTTAAAGCTTCCCATTTGTTCCCCATAATGTTTTTCTATTTTTGCCATCATGTATTCCATGATCAAATATGAGTTTGTAATGGGAGGCATCTTTAGTACAAGGTATTAAGAGGACAAGTTGAGTTTGGCTTTGCCAAAATGGATGAGGCTGATGATAAAGCCCAAAATCTTACAGAAGAGTTTTAGTAGACCTTAATTACTGATGTTCAATCTAGACGTACACATATGTCTTTAATGTGATTGAAATCAAAAGGCTAAGTTGAAATGTCCTAGGAGTTACAATGGAACTATATTTCTTTTCTTATTCAATAGATTTGCAGAGTATAGTTTGTAAAGTTCTCACTGCTACTATTTGGAGAATTTAACTGCGGCTACTACTACTTCTACTACTACTACTATTACTACTACTACAAATAATACTAAACAATAAAACAAGTAATTGAAAACAACAGTAACAACCAACAAAGAGGACGGTGTTATTGGGTTTAGTTCTCCAAAGGGAAAAACAGATTGCTTTCTTGTGCATTTTCCCTCCCTTTTGGGGATGGGTTCTTTGTCTAGACTGTAGGAATGAAGGTAGCTTTTGATGTAGTTGGGGTGAGATTTCAAGGAAAAAGGAACCAGGGCCAATCTTTGGACCCAGTCTAAGAACAGGCTTATACCTTCAATGGAGACCGTCCAACAGGTGACGGGGATACTGGTGTTGTGTGTCTTGCTGGTGAAGCTGTAGATGGAGAGAGAACATTTGAATTAAGAAAACCAAAGAGATGCATACACCCTCTATATGTACAAATGCAGGCAGATGAGTTAGTGAAAGGGAAGCAGAAAGTTGAGAGGAGAACCTACATGATGCCTGTCTAGAATATTTCTCATGGAGGATGGTGCCACCAAGACATGGGCCAACTAGCAAAAAGTTACAGAGCACTTGATGCTCTGACAAGAATGGTATGGCCCCAAACTGCTCCAATGGCCTCTCTTCTCCTCTCCTCTCCTCTCCTCTCCTCTCCTCTCCTCTCCTCTCCTCTCCTCTCCTCTCCTCTCCTCTCCTCTCCTCTCCTCTCCTCTCCTCTCCTCTCCTCTCCTCTCCTCTCCTCTCCTCTCCTCTCCTCTCCTCTCCTCTCCTCTCCTCTCCTCTCCTCTCCTCTCCTCTCCTTTCCTCTCCTTTTTTGCTGACAAGGTTTCATGTGATCCAAGCTGGTTTTGAACTCTGTATGTATCTGTGGATACTGAACTCCTTATTCTCCTCCTGAGTGCTTAGGGTACATGTTTGCACTACCACACTTGGCTCTAATGTCCTTCTTATATCCCCTAAGTCCAGACACCTTTCATCACTCAATCTCTTTATCTCATAAAACACTTTGGTGTGAAGTGCCAGGAGTCCTAGGGAGATGGCTGTTGTCTTTGGCCTGAGAAGCAATGTGGATATCAAGGTCAATCAGGCAGCGAGAGCAGGCCCATAGAGACATTCAGCATGCCTTCTCTTTCACCCCAACTCCCAACATCCCCATTGCAGATGGAGAGCTTTTCTGTGTCAATACAAAAGGTTAGCTGCTTTCCACTGAAGCAGCCCTTAGGCCTTCCCTTGGTCCTCTGACTGTCATGTCTCACCATCATGGCAAAGAAGAGTGACCTCTGCTTCTCCTGGGTTTTCAGGTCTGATACCTGGGACCCAGAATGTGTGGCAGTGTGCTCTGTGTGTCCTTATGGATCAGATCTTGCTCTCTAGAGCATAGCTGCATAGCATAAAAACAGCTTGTGACACAGTCAGCAGGGTGAGGGCAAGCTCTACTTCCCAATTCCACACAGTAATTTTGGCAAATGTGAGCTATGCTCCTCGGCGGTAAACTGCCACTCTTCCAGCCACCACGCGGAGGTCTGTAACTCATAAAAACATACAGGAAAGCTGAGAGGAAGAACGACAGACAGTTGCCCAGCCCCACAACACTGACCACAGATGATAACATCAGCACAGACCATGAAAGCAACCAGTACAGAAGGGAGCGCAGCCCTGCCAATCAATCTACTTGGAATGAGAAGGGTCATCTGGCAGTGCGGAGTCCATTATCACACTGCAGGGTTGGGCAACCTCAGCCCTGCATGCCAGCTCCTAACATCAGTGCTGGGTCTCTGTTGTGAGTGCTGATGAGGAAGAAAATCACATATGCACAGAGAAACCAGACCTGATGGGGGCTCTACATCTGCTAAGACTGTGGCGGAGGTCAAGGCTTCCTGTTGTTTTTTTTTTTGACTCAGACTCAGACGGTCGCACAGTCCTGGCACCTAGAGCCCATTCTCAGAGATATTTTTCTGGAAAGCCACTTTCTACATGCCTAAAAAAGGCCCACCAGCATCCTTGTTGTCGAATTGGAACCGTTCCACGAGCCCAGATAGCATCGTTAATATTCATTCCTTAGTAAGAACTATCAATATTACTGTTCCTTAAAAATGCCTTCCAAGTTCTCAAATTCAGGGGCACAACCAGGCCTTTAAACTAGAGACTACCTGAATATACATGTATCACCAAGGAAATACAAATGAATGATGTGTCTGACAAGTCCTCATTCACAGTCAGACGGACACACACACCAATGCAATGATTAATAAAATTAAAGTTATTCCTCATCCTGTTGAAACCTCTCAGGTGCCCTTCAGAAACTATCCAAAAGATGAACAGCTACAGTATGGCATGCCCAGTCTAGAAAAATCTGCCAAGGAAACAGCACCATATTTTCTTTGGTTCTTAGGCCAGCTATTCATCTATGGCTCCAGCAGACATAGGCAAGTGCTGACAAGATCTGGTGACTGGAAAAGCAGTCAGATAAAAGCAGGGGCCTCTTTAAAAATGCCTCCCATGCAAGCTGCCGAGCAAGTGGTATGCTCAGATGGAAAGTGGGTTTCTCCTGGGACCCAGGGCCTGGCTGGAACTTCCTCAATTTGTAGCACTCAGGTACTACTGAGTAGAAGAATCACGTGACTGGCTTGGTAAAGTGCTGGTTTCAGCCTCATTCCAGGAATGTAATCTTCAGGTTCAGAATACCTGAGGTGGGCTTGTGGATGGGCTTCGTGAACCATGGTTACAAGAGATGCAGGTTCATGCATCAGCCCTTAGAGCATCACCACTACTGGATATGGCACTCTCAGAGCATCGGCCGACCTAGGATGTCAGCCCCTCTCAAAGCCACTGTGAGCTGATTCTTAGATGGGTCAGCTGAAACACTGTTGCCATTGTTGAAGATTCAAGGAAGCAGCTGTGTTAGCAGAGATTGGTGCAAGCGAGGTTCAGAGAGAGTGAAGGGGCCCACAGAGCAAGAAGGGTTGAGCATGGTAATGGGAGAAGATGGCATGCTCAAAGCCTACCTGAGGGGAGGCGCTGTCTGTGTGGTGAAGTGCAGGAATAGAGGCCAGCACTAGAAGCGACTTACACTGCTAGCAAGACTTTTCCCTCAGAAACCAGATGCCTACCTTTCTCTGAGGAACTCAGGACAAGTTGAAATACTCAATATACTTATTTTATGAAAGTGATTGTTCAAATGCTTCAAATACCCACCAGTCTGTGTGGGCCTTGGAGGGACGGGGGGAGAAATAAGTTTCCCACCATCCGACATGTTCTTGGCTTCCTTCCCACTGTCCAGGCTCCAGCTGCTAGGGGTGGGATTCACAGCTGGAAGGGAATAACAAAGCTAAAATCACAAGATCCAGCTTTGCCTTTCAAATGTTTGAGATCTTAGGAGAAAGTCAGAATTGTCCAGAATGGAAAAAAAATATCAACTGGATTTCAAAAAACCCACAAAACCTCAAGCCCCAAACAAGCAGGAAACTTCCCGAATACTAAACCTCCCTAATTGGTTACCTAACAGTCAGAGTTGACATTTAATTGGGTAACAGCGTGTCTCTTTATTTCCCTCAAGCTGTCAAACAGGACTACAAATCGCTATGCCAGAGAGTAGCAACCTGCTGAGAATTACAAATGTGTTTAGATGTTAAAAAACAGATGGGGAATACAGTCATCAGTCTATTTGTAGAAATTTCTGGACAAGTGGCATCTAAAAGAGGCAGGGAGGCAAATGGCACTCTCATATTTCAACTGTGTGGCAGAAGTACCGAGGACTGGTCTGAAGGGACCACACCATCTCCCTGCCCAGTGCTGTCCAGAAAGGACTCTTTGCAAAGTGAGAGATCACGCTAAGTAAGTCCTGAGAAAACAACTTGGACTGCTGACATCATCATTCTTACTCTGCAGTCCATCTGCTCCAAGCAATAAGATGGAGGATTGTGGAGAGCCCTGCTAGGAAGCAGGGCAGGACACACAAGGTTAGAGCAGACATTCTGCAATCAAGTTTCTAATAGGAAGCCAGAGTTCCTGCCTGCTTCCTTTGCAGACACTGCCATCTGAGGGACCCAGTGAGGATTGCCATGTTTTATTCCTCCAAATTACTGCCTTGATTTAATGGGGTAGAATGAGTTTAAACGTAATTATTTTTCTCTATTCTTTTTACATTTGCTTTGTGGTTTTCTTTAGTAAAGTGGGTAAAAATAACAGCAAATTCCTAGTTTCTCCTGGTAAAGATCAGTGCTCGACTTACAACATTGAAGCTAATTCCATACTTTAAAATAATTTTGGTTAGGTCCTCACTAATTTTCATCTCCCTTTGGGAAATTTTAATGTTAATGTATCAGTGTACCAGAATGGTAATACAGCCTAGTTCTTAATGGGGGCAATTAAAGTGCACTTTCCTGGGACATTTCATTAGTGAGTCTCGATTCATTGGCCTGTGAGACTGCTATTTTTGAGGCCTGACCCTGAGTTAGGCAAATGGGTGACTTACTGCAAATCCCACACCCACTGTTGGGGGGGCATTGACATTCAATCTGTCCTTCCTCTTCTGCGTGCTGCTAATTGGCTACTTACCACTATTCATGCATTTGGTTCTTATTTGTGTGTACATGACCTTGAGGCAGGGTGCACTCCATTATGCGCTGGATTGCCATGCTTACACAGTATTTAATTGCACAAGAGCCTATCTGAGTCACCACAAACAACAGATGAGCTGCCTGAATGAGCTCTGTAAAGGAGACAATGGATGGGGACTGTGGAGTCAATCTGAGGAGTAGCTACTTTGATTGTGTGAACTGATGGCCTAATTGGCCACTTTGCTTCAGGAAGAGCAGGCTTTGCCAGGGCTCACTGACAACAGAAAGTCATTACACAAAGGGGTTCTTGAATGGCTCAGAGTCTGCCCTTAATAGTTGATGGAGAATGGATCATGACTAAATCTGTCACTAATTCCCCAAAGATCACATTCGTCCTGATCACTAAGGACACAGAGTCCTACGGGCCACAGGACACATGAAAGACTAGAAAAAAATGAGGACACAACAAACTCTGACACATTCTACCACCCCAACGGGTTGGATGATACCCACCTTTCTCAGGTGCGGAGAGATTGGGGTCACTGCGCGGCAAGGCCCCATCTCCAATATGATTAAACAGTGTTCTCTAGAAAGGGAGAAGATACATGTTTATGATGTAATATGCTGAGATGCCTTTTTGAAAATGATATGGTTATCTCCTTATGAAACTTTTTCTCAAAATATTTTCTATATGGTATAATGAGTTTAGGAACAAAGAAGTAAGCTATATTGAAGGCAAAAAGGGGAACAGAGCCTTATGTTTTGCTCAATATAAATGCTAAATACTCATAATTACATAATAACTCATAATAAATGTAGGAAGATGAATATTAAATAGAAGCTAGGTGTGGTGTTCTTTGAGTGTATATGGGCAGTATGACATGTGATTAACAATTAGAGGAGAAACACCAACTCATACACCTGTTATATATATGAACTCTATTGTGGTTCAAATCCTATAGTCGGTAAAAAAAATGAACTGATGAATGTTCTGTAATTTCTAACCTACAAAAAATACCACTTTTACACGGCTGTACCTAATTCATGAAAAGAAACAGCAGATACCTACAGCACTGTACATTATTGCAGTTTTGGTAATGTATGTACGGTTTCAAATTTTACCCAAGGCAGATAACTTGGGACTAATCAAGGACGCCCTTCGGACTTTCCCATGCTGGCACACGTTCCCTTAGAGCAGATGAAACCAACTGTGAGATCCCCTTGCAATGCCAGTGACAACGGGACTTAAAACTGGTTAGCTGGTTCAGCCAAACGCACTCAGAAATCATTTCTGCCAGACATCAGTGCTGCGTAGAGGAGGCATCCTGGGCCTTTCAGGAAGATCACACAATCAGCAAAGATAAACCAATCAAGCCAAATCCCACTCGCTCTCATCCACTTCCAGATGCAGCTACAGACTTCTGCCAGGATGGTGTAGAAAAACAGAGAAATTAGCTGGAGCAGAAAGAAATAGTTTCCTCTGCTCTTAAAATTGGTCCCAAATAAACTGTAAAACTCAGGGATACAACATAAATCTTCAGTTTTGTACCCACCCTTCAATGCACATGGTTGCCTCTGGGTTGAGCTTGTGGCCCTGTGCTCACTCAGGTTGAGAGGAAGCATTTTAAAGTGAGGACTGAGTTTCTGGTGGAACCACATTCCCTAGCTCCTGTGAGGGACTCAGGACATCTCCAGGACACAGCTGCTTTCCTGGTAATGCATGGAAGAATGGCAAAGGCAAACAGATTGCTCCTGCACTCTCTGGGAAAGGAATCCCATGGAGGGATTCTCAATAACTATGGGCAAACAGGAAGTTCTGGGCAGAGGCAGTAGTCTTCTGCTAACTTAAGAGGTTCCCCCTCCCCAGACTTCTGCTCCATACACATGCAAACACACACACAGATGGTTCATTCATTAACTTCCCCTTGGGATGTTGCTGTGGCAGCAACGAACAGGCTGAGATAAAGGAGGACCCAGACACACCTTCTCAGCTTCACTGTTCGAGCCGCAATCCAGACATCCTTGTAGAACAGTGGTTCTCAATCTTTGGGTCCAGACTCCATTGGGTTTCAAATCAGATATCCTATATATCAGTTACTTATATTATAATTCATAGCAGGGGCAAAATACAGTGATAAAGTAGCAAGGAAATAATTTTATGGTTGGGGGCTCAACATGAGGAACTGTATTCAAAGGTCACAGCATTAGGAAGGTTGAGAACCACTGCTCTAGAATGGTGAGTCAGACAGCGCCCCAACAGTGGCAGAGACTAGAGGTGGACTGACTCTTTACACAGCTGGCCTTGACACTGGTTGCTTTTGGCAGCTACTTCGTGCTTGTGCAGAGATTGACAAACAAAACCACGTTCTCCCATTTTCTCGCTTCTGATTCCCCCACAGGAGTACCTGGGAAGGCTCCACAGGTGTTGGGTAAATGGCACTGCACGGTCTATCTCTTGGGGACAGGCAAGAGTTTTCTCTGGAATGTTTGTGTTTGTCAGACAACAAAGGAGAAGCTGGGAAGAGAAACAGAGATTATCAGTGTGGTAGCCAAGAGGCGCCTGTCCTCAGGAAACCAAGCGCTGTGGACCACTCAAGCCACAGCTCCTAGGCCTGGAAGATTCTCTGGGTACCAGTCACCACAATCCCAACTCTGTACTAACCTCTGGCACTCGATGGAGCAGAACTGGTCACATTAGGTGAAGCAGAGTGAGTGGAACTCAGGCTTGAGGTAGATGGGCTGGGCTGCAAACATAGAGAGCCACTGTCATACATGGTTACGAGCTTCAGTTCATAATGACTTTTGAAACAAAACACCAGCATTCATCTTTTCAAATTAGCAAAAAACAAAAACCAAACCCCAAAGGCTACTTAGAAGCACAGTGAAGTCTTATTAACTCAGATGGACAAGGAAGCTTGCCTGGATTAATCAGGCACCTGAGATTTGCACTGCTGCTGAAGCTTCAAAGGAGCACACATGTATTAGTTTCAGCTCTATTCCCCAGCTCTGCACCCATAAGCAGCCCCCACTCCCTCCCACAGTATAAAACAAATATTTCTAGTCTTGGGCACAGAAACAGGGGAGTGTTCCTTTTTACACTTACTGATTGATGGATTGTGCATGTTTGCACTTCTCCTGTGTGAGTGTGCATTGTGTTGGCGGGTGTGTGTGTGTGTGTGTGTGTGTGTGTGTGTGTGTGTGTGTGTGTGGTGCACGTGTACTCCTCTCCTGTGTGAGTGTGCAAGTGCAATGGCGTGTGTGTGTGTGTGTGTGTGTGTGTGTGTGTGTGTGTGTGTGTGTGTGTGGTATACATGCGCTCCTCTCCTGTGTGAGTGTGCATGTGCCATGGCATGTGTGTGTGGTGCACGTGTACTCCTCTCCTGTGTGAATGTGCCTGTGCCATGGCATGTGTGTGTGGAGGTCAGGGAAGACAGTTCTCTCCTTTCACTGTGTGGGTTGTCATTCTTGGCAGCAAGTGCTTTACTCACTAAGCCCTCTAGCTGGCCTCTGAGTGTTTCTAAAAGGCACACAATCTGCCTTCTGCTTATCTTCAAAATCATGTGTTCAGAGCATAAATGGGAATAGCATTGTGGCTGTTGCCAAAGGCAGTGGTAGGAAATTCAGCTTTATTTTGCTATCCTAAAACAAAATGCTTTTAAGACTCACATGAGCTCTAAAATACCTTTAAAAAACTATGCATTTTCTTCTCTTTTTATTACAGAAAATTTTCTTATATAACTATGCAAATTTTATAATGGGAACTCTTTTTATTTATTTATTTGTTTGTTTGCTTTTTCCAGATAGGGTTTCTCTGTAGCTTTGGAACCTGTTCTGGAGCTCACAGAGATCTGCCTGCCTCTGCCTCCTGCATGCTGGGATAAAAGGCAGAACACTTAAAGAGCCACTTTAGAACTCTACAAGGCAGCTAGTGTATGCCAACATGTTCCAGGAATCTAGGACCCAGGAAGCCAAGAACTACCAAGGTCAATATGAAAGCTATGCTTGGGCATCTTGCCTGGGCTTTTCTATTGTTTGTCTATATTTTCTTAAAGTGATGGGCAGTTTGGAAAGAAACCCTTTTGTGGATTCCAAAGGCCAGCAAAGCAATAGCGAGAGTTTTTAAAAGGCTGGTGCTTAGGTTAAGTTCTTGCTTGGAGGTCCGTTCATGAGCCCAGCAGAATGGACAGACACTGTCATGATGTAGACAGAAAAGGAGTAGAGACGAGCAGACAAAAAGCTAAGCAAGTACCTGCATGTTAAAGACTTCGTCAGAGCTTTCTGACTGCCCTGTAATATTGCTTACTTCAGCAGAGGCTTGGGAGGACAGCGAGGACGAGGAATACCGGTTGACAGCTGGGTAACTTAATGGGCTGTTTCAGGGGGAAAAAAAACAGTCGTTAACTCAGACTTGGAACTGTATTTTATCACATGCCGGTATGGCATAACACCAAAGGGAAAAAAGACACATCCCATTTTGTTGTCTCCTGTTTGCCTCAATATAATGGAATGTTTGAGCTTATTTATTTCTCATGCTGTTGCTGTTTTACTAGTGGCAGATGTCTGCAGCTGCCTTGTGGCTTAATTATTTCATTAAGAAATAGTGAATTTGACAAATCGCACCATAAAGAATGAGAAAACCATTCCATATCATCTTGTGGGGCTGGCAAATTTTAGGTAATTCAGAATATGACTTACCTGCGTCTAGGAATTACCCTGGTACCATCTGGACTCATGGAAGCAGGGGCTGAGTTTCTACACACACGAGGACTTCCATTAGGAAAATGAACAGGACTGGCCTGAATACAAGCAGGGAACTCCTGAAGAGGAGGTAAAGAACACATTTTATTACAGCAACTGATCTATGAGGTACTTTCATCTACTAAATATACACCCTCAACATCTTAAATAGGGACCAAATTATAAATTCCAGTATTACTGAGCCTTCAGACATTGACTTTTTTTTTTTCTTACATAAAGGGTAAATATGGAAAACAGCAGGAATGCAATTGTAACATTAAAAGCTCCCTGAAAAAATGCTGCAATGTGGCAGGCAAACCAAAAGATGTCACTATTGGACTTTTCATCCATTGACTCACAACAAGCCACTGCAGTGGCCAGGCAGCCCCACCATGGCCCTTCAGCACATACCTGGATCCCAAAGCTCGATTTCATCACAAAGAACTGGTCCACCAGTTTTTTGTGAAGGGGTCTCATATCTTGAGGTACAAACTTCTCGTGCACGGCCAGACCGAATTCCAGAATCTGTGCCTAGATAACGACACAAGGAAAAGCCCGCATCAGTGACTGTTTCTCGTAGGGAATTGCTGTGAACCATACTTTATTGCAGGCGCTCTCCATCCAATGGATGGGAACAACAGGAGCTCTGCAGGTAAGGAGGCAGAATCCCTAAGTCCTACAGTAGTAAGTCTGTCTGACTCCCCACACTTGACTTTGCTACTTCACTTTCCCCAAGCTCCTTCCCTGTGGGTCCCATATCTTTCATGATAACCCTCTTTGGTGGCTATGGGCTCCTGGCCCCCTAGTCCCCTTCCTAGGGTGGGCAGAAAATGAGGAGGAAGTTGTTTCCTATTTGGAGGGTCAAGCAAATCTTTTTTTCGGGATGGCCTCCCCTTCCTACATCAACCCCCCAGCCCCAAGAGATTCTCAAAAATTTCTAGGGGCGAAATTAAACAAGAAATCATCAGGAGCTCTGTAGCAGTTTCTATGCCTTTTGTTTTCTTTAAAAATATGATTACTGTTTACTTACTATAACAAGGGATCCAGCCTTTAAAAAAAAAAAAGGTTGCTGCAAGGACCCAAAAGGAAATGGACATACACATTTTTTGTTCACCTATCAATAGTGTGTGACGTCTTGGGTTTGAATGTTAGTTATCTTCTGCATTTCAGCAAACTCTAGTCTGTGAGGAAAGCGAGCACAGGTGCTTGCAGCTATGCATCTGTGAAGAGTCTAGATAGAAACTCACGGTCAGATGGGTCTGACCTTCACAGGCTAGAGTTCCCGGCACCTTCTCTATGAGACAGGGCTGTGGCAACTTCCACTCTGGATGCCTACTCTTGCCAACACCTTTCCAAAGAGAAAAGCGCCCTGAAATGAACACGCGGGACATAATGGCATGTATCTAATGCACAGAACGAGCAAGTGGTCCGTGGAGTGAGGAGATGGGAGGGACCCAAGAGTTGTAACTACCTATAGCAGCTGCTGGTCTTCTCCATTTCAAACAGCTGTTGGCTCACCTTTCCTTTGCTCAGGTAACGTCACTTGGGTACTCAGGGAACAGAGATTACAATGCTCATTGTGGGGAGTCTGGGGCTCAAGCAGAAGCAGCAGGGCTTTACAGAGATAGATGTGCTACGTAGTAGGTTGGCCAATTCTGTCAAGCCCAGGGCCTCTTTGGAACTTTATTAAGCTTTCAAGGTTGTCCTGTGTTGGACCAGGCTTTATACTTTCCTCTCAGTCTTAGAAGTGGGCCATTAAGAAGACAGTGACCATGGGCCAAGTGGCTCTCCACAACTGAGGCAACTGCCATAGGATCAGGCAGCTGGATCTATCTGCTGAAGATATCTCCATGTCAATGAGACAGAGGTTCAGGAAGGGTGATGGTCTCTCAGTGTAACTCCTAAATGATGCTCCAACAGAAGTGATGTGTCATGCCCAAGGTTACATGATACACTTTTTTTTATTTCAATTGTTCTACAACAGAAACCTCACATTTTCTGACCACAGCTCTTTCCATAGGGTCCCATGAGCAATGCCAAGCATGACACAGCAAAGTCTAACTTTATTTTCTTGAGAAGCTTCTTAGCTCTGAGCTACTGTTTTAATTCTGGGGAAAGAACTTATTCAGACTGAACATGAAAGACAGAACCCAGATTTCCAATTATGTCTTCCATCTCAGATGTTTGCAAACCCTTTTCAGGCAGCTATCAACAGGGGCCCAGCAAGTGACAGTTCTAGCTCTCAGTCCTCCATGGCACCAAATAAGTAAAAGCACACTGTTCTTTGAAGTGAAAAATGACGAGCGTGCCTAGTTTGTGCACACAGTACAACCTCTGGGCTTTATCTGCAAAACTCAACACTGCCACACAGCAAATGCTACTGACTGCCCACTCCTTACTTATGAAACAGTCTCATTCATGCACGCATTTATGATCTTGAGGTGGCCTGAATGTATTTGAGCATGAAATTCTTAGCAACAAGTCTGCAGTAAGTCTTGGGGCGGGACATTCAAAGAGACCACATGAGATGTTTGTTACTTATAGGGGACAACTTGTTAAGTTTGTTCTTGCATCCAAGTGGGAGGAAAGAGTAGAAATTACCCAGTTGGGATAAACTACAGGTGAATCTGTCAACTTCCTGCCACGTCAGCTAGGCTGTTCATGAAAGTGCCTGAAGGTGGATATTTTGTAAGGACATGCAGAGCCAAGGCAAGATTGAGTGATCGCCTCTGTCATCCTACCTGCTCAAGCATCAGCTCTCTTAACCGTGCTATCTTCTCCCCATCTTCAGGATGACTTAAAATATAGTCTTTGACAAAGAATGCCTAGGAAGAGAAGGGACAGTCAGACTACCCAGGAGAGTTACCATGGAAGTGAAAGACACATTTATGACTTTTCTAAGGTTTGGCATATGGACAGAAGTAGCATGATTATGAAACATGTTTGGGAACAGATGGAGTGATTCCTGTCTGTGGGCAACGGATCACAGGCAATATTCAGAAAGCCAGAGCTTGTACACTAAGCATCTCTGGAGAGAGAGAGAGAGAGAGAGAGAGAGAGAGAGAGAGAGAGACCCAATTCAATAAATTATAATAATTAATTACAAACTAAAAATAAAATAAACTGTCTTAAGATTCAGTGTGTCCAAGATGTTCTTCCATCCTATTATAAAAACAGAAGAAAAGTTCTCCTAAAGGATCATTAACAAACAAACAAATAAACAAACAAACACAAGACTCCATGCATGAACCTCCTTGATTAGACAAATTATTTTAGGTAGACATTTGTTAAGCAGTTCTGACCTCCTCACTACATTTATTCATCCCAACACAAACACACACACTTAAAGTGAAGGTTGAATACACAGACTGCACAAATGGCTGGCTATACATTTGTTTGCTTTTACAAAGGACGGCCTTTGTGCTGATTGCAGCTATCTATCACTGATAATGACCCACGTTTGCATAAAAAGATTCACAAAACCCCAAGGCATCTCCACTGACAAGTTCTTCTCCAGCTCTCCTCAGTCCTTACCTCTTGGTACCTGGAAACCCCACCATTCACTGCGGCATCTATGACTCCATTGAGGCACATGGTCAAGGGGTTGATGTTCTGCATCTGCCTTGTCTGACACTGGCTGATGAGAGCCTTCAGTTGCTGGTTTTTATTTTCTAACACTTCAATGGCGTTTTCCAGGGGACTCATTTCAACCTGAAAAACAAATGAGTGTAAATATCTACTGACGTTTTATGGCATTCAAAACAAAAGATGAGAGAGAGAGAGAGAGAGAGAGAGAGAGAGAGAGAGAGAGAGAGAGAGAGAGAGAGAGATATTATCCAGCTTATGACTCATCTGTGGTTCTTAGAAGCTCCTGTCAACATCTCTTCCGGGAGCCATCCCACAGCACAGAAAAGGATGTAGAAGTCAAGGTACCCATTCATCAGTAAGATGTGAAAATGGCAGGTAACTATGTCCATTGATGGAAGTGTGGTATGGGAAACCAGCAACTGTCAATTTTATAACAGCATGACACTAGCATCCCGTGCTTTGATGCTCTTTTGGATGGACCCTGAGGTACTTATGTGGTCCAAAGCAGTGTGGGAAATACAGACACATTAGCAGATCTTCTGGTGTCAAAGAGTTCTCAGGCCCATTTTGGAGAGGGCACATATGCCCATATAGACCTCCATATGCATTTATAACAGCACCATATGGTAGCACGGGATGGCACACAGTTGGGAGTTACAGAAAACAGTATAATCACATACATTCCAGGATCTATTTCTTGGTGCAAAGCCAAATAGAATCATAATGACTTACTGGTACAGGGGACCTAATTGTGACAATGATCAAAGTGTTTTTCCAATATATGTCATTGTGCTGTCAATGTCACAGACATTTTCTTTGAAGAGAAGGTCTGACAAACTCTTAGTAACTAAATTCAGACATACAGAAAGCACACTTAAGCTCTTGCTCTTTAAGTTAGAGACACAAATTACAATAAAAGGCCACTTAGACAATCTGAAAGCAACGCTGGAAAATCTCAGAATAACCCAAGTGCATGGAAATTAAGATTTAAAAAAAAAAAAAAAAGGAAAGGGAGTATAAGTCACAATACATGACAAATTAATTTTAATGTGGATAATCAACAAATAACCTACTCACAGAATTTAAAAGACTTCAAAACCAGTAAGAAAAAGCCAAACAAACCCAAGGAAAACCGGGCAAAAGACGGAAACATCAATTTCACACAGGAGTAAATTCAAGTGGCCAATGAATATCTGCAGAGGTTTCCTCATCTGTGAGGAAACGTGAAGAGTAACACCACAGGGACTAGAAAACTCTCCGGAGAGTGGTAGAAATAAATGTGGCAAAAACAAATGAGGGTGTCACTGTGAGCACGAGAGTTCCTTTCCTGCTACAGAAGGTCAAGCTGCCGCATGGACTGGAAAACAGCTGAAGGACTATCACCCATCTACTATGTAAATGTACTTTCGTACTATCTCATGGTCCAGAAATTCTATTCATAGGCATACATCTGAAAAAAAAAAGATGGAGCGGAACATATATGTACATATGCAGGTGGAACCATGTATAAAAATGTTCCCCCAAATTGCTGTTTATCAACAGGAGAGTATGTAATATATTGTGGTTTGGTTTATACAGTGGAATAATATATAGTAATGGAAAGCATTGCTTCATACTTAATTGGAAAAGTACCACAAATAACACTGAGAGAATGGAACAAGAGTATTTTTTGTTGTTGTTGTTGTTTTTTTTTTTTTTTTTTTTTTTTTTTTTTTTTTGGTTTTTCAAGACAGGGTTTCTCAGTAGCTGTGAGCCAGTCCTGGAATTCACTCTGTAGAGCAGGCTAGGATGGCCTTGAACTCACAAAGATCTGCCTGGCTCTGCCTCCTGAGTGCTGGGATTGAAGGTATGCGCCACCACTGCCTCGCAGAATGGAACAAGTATTAACAGAGTCCATACAGTTAAGCAACAATAAGTGGACTGTGTTTAGAAAAGCATGAACAGGTGAAAAACTAAGCAAGGAAACCCATACTACGAACATCAGGATACCGCTGGTGTGAAGACAAGGACTTGATTATAATTTGGGTGACTGCATAAGAGGCCCCCACGATGGCACTAACAGTGATAGCTACTGTAAACAATTTGTGATATTAAACCCCCTTTTTTTTTTGGTACATGCAAAAGCCAAGGCATAAAGCGAAGTCTGAGTCCAGATCACTGCCAGTTAAAAAAGCAAAGCACCTTCAGAACATAGGACAGAATGGGACTGTGGTTCTCACCCTTCCTGATGCTGCAACCCTTTAATACAGTTCCTCATGTTTTGGTGACCCCAAACCATAAATCTGTTTTTACTGCTACAACGTAAATGTAATTTTGCTAGTTATGAATTGTAATGTAAATACCCCTGTTTTCTGTTTTCCATGGTCTTGGGTAACCCCTGTGAAAGGGTACTTTGAATCTCAAAGGGGTTGTGATGCACAGGTTGAGAATTGCTGTTTAGGGGCTGAGGATGGGGAGGAACTGCTGTTGAAAGGACATAGACTTTCAGTTCACAGGAGGAAAGACTTGGGGAGATCAATTACTCAACAGTTGCAAACAATCAGCCCCATTACAATGCACTTAAAATGGTTATGAGAAATGCCATGAATTGTTTTTACTATAATAAAATAAAAATACCCATCTTCATGGTTACAAACTCTAGAACTATTAACACAATAATTTTGGGAACATCACATAAGATATAATAAATGTGTAAAATACAAGAACTTCAGAGAGTATTTCCAATATGTATTTGAGACAAGGTATAAATAATTCACAATACTGGAGAAAACTGGACACAGGGAAGAAGTGGACTACTCACAAAAGAACCAGAATGAATAAATAAATATATGAGAGTAACTCTCACCAGCTCTCAATAAATACGAGTAAGTGATACACAAGCTGCCACATTTCCTTGTCAGGTCAGAAAGCAAAGGTGTCTGGGAGGAAGACAGGAAGCAGTTGGCCTGTGGCCTGTCCACTCCCCTTCCCCAGGAAGGCCCTTTGGGAAACTGAAAAGGAAGCAGGTGGCTGGGTCATTTCTCCTAGCTGACCAAACCTTCATGGAAACCAGCTAAGAATAACTGTAGTGGGAAGAGCTGCCACCCATGGAGGCCTGTAGTAGGAAGTTAGTGAAGAAGCCTTCCTAAGCAGACAAGCCCAGCCTCTGAGAGAATGTCTCTGAGAAGTTTACAGCTAACCCTACAGAGTATGACATTCAGTGTCTCCTAATGAACAGTTTAAGCTGGGGAGCCCTGAGAACCCCACTTATAGCTTTCATCTGTTACTCTAATTGTCACCAATACACCAATACGAAGGTGTGATGGGTGGTGCTTTGGTCTCAGCAATCTCTCCTTGCCTGGCATCTGGACCACCTTGAATTATTAATAAAGCTTGGCACGAGGAAGGGACAGGAGTTGTGCCTGATTGGCTCAAAAGTAACATCTCTGTGGATGAGTAAGAAATCACTCAGACAGGATTTCGAACAGGAGCCAAAGTGCAATAATAAAGCAATTGAAAATAAGTAATTAAGAGGAATAATTTAACAATAATAGCTGCAATGGATTCACAGAAAACAAATACACTTAAATCTATGATCTAGTAATAATAGTAAAAACCCATATCAAATAAAATCCAAGTAGCCTTCTTGTTACTTTCACAGGGCATTAAGGACTGAATTCATTTTGAAAAGAACATTTTATTTTCTTTCCTTTCCTTTATCTTATAGTAATGAAATATTTGATGATGGATACGATTGTTTTATATACTATTGCAATGAATAAAGATAGATGATGAAATTATATATATATATATATAATATATATATATATATATATAATTGAGGAAGAACAGAATATATATATATTTTCACCACCATGTGGGTCCTGGGGATTGAACTCAGGTTTTCACACTTTGTGGCAAGCACCTTTATCTACTGAGCCATTTTACAGCACCCCCCCAAATATCATATCTTAATCCTTAAAAGATCAATAGGTCTGGGCAATGGTGAGCAACAACTGATTGTCATTTATTCTTGCTAATATCAGAAGGAAAGAGAAGGGAAGAAGGGAGTAAGAGAGAGGCACAAAATACCTATGAAGTAGTCTTTCACAAACAAACAATGCCTTACTTCACTATCAATTTACAAGAAAGGCAGGCCACAGAGAAACATGTTAAAAGACCCCACTTAGATCAAGACTTACAGAAACATTTCAAGGCAAACCACCATGACTCTCCAACAAAAAATATTTTTAAAAAATGAGGCGAAAGGGAACATCAAGACTAAAAAGGATTTAGGGAACACTGCACACAATGGCAATGGACATTCAGAGTCAACAAAGGATGAAAATGAAATGGAACAGACACTTGGTGAGTCATATGGGAACACTGGAGCTTTTACAGTCAGCACGCTATTGTTATTCTTGTATATATAGTATGATATTGTTTAGAAGTACACATAATGAGACAGTTCTGGATGAAATTGCAGAATTGTTACAAAATCATCGGGTGTGAGGAGTGGTTAAAGTGCAGATAACAGAAAACTGACCCTTTTTTTCTGGCTTCTGAAGATGACAAATTAGGATTGCTATACATTAAGTTTCAAAGTGTCATTGGCCCCCATGTACTGGGACCATGAAGCAAGGCTAGAAGCAGGCTTCATACATGCAGCCTCCCCTGGTGTATAGGCAGTAATGGAGCACTAGATGGCGCTGTTTGCAGGGCTGGTGCAGACTCCTGGGATTCTGGGTAGGGTGATACGTATGTATATCTTTTATTGAGTTTGTTCTTTGACAATTTTATACATATATAAACTATATTTTGATGACTATAAACACAACCCTTTCTAATCAACCTCTCACCCCTATTATTCATCCTGCCTATGAATACCCTTCCTACATTTTGGCATTTGGTTTTGTTACTGTTTTCTTTTTTGAGACCCACTAAGTTTAACCAGGATCATATGTGTGACCATGGGTCTGGAGTCATCCACTGGGTCTAGTGGGCCCCTCAATGGGTACTCACATGAACAATAGCTACTGCTTCTGTAGACTTCATCACTAGTCAATAGTTCAGGAAGGATGGGTAGGGCACCACAAACCCCTCCTGACCTATGACTGACTGTCGATAGACCCAGTCTTGTGTAGGTTCATTACAGGGAGCCATAGCTGCTGAGAGGTTTAGAAGAACATTGGCTGTGGTAGGTCTGACAGACAGCATTCCACAGCCCTTCTTCCTGGTTAACATGCTTCTACGAAACACCCCTGCGTGGAGTAGTATAAATGTCCTGTTAGGACTCAGGGTCCAGCTGCTACTTACAGTCAGCACTGTGAGCAGCCATGGGTCTCTGCATTCACGACTATTCTCTGTAGACAGGCTTCTCTGATTAAGGCTGGGAGTAGCACTTATATATGAATATAATCATAAATATTTAGAAGGCAGCTTGGCAACATGACAATTTAGCTGAATAAGGAGTAAGTTCAGCCCTAGGGCCTAAAACCTTCTCGGGTGTTTTGTTTTTGTTTTTGTTGGGAGGGAGCAAGACTGCTCTGAGAATGTGGAGGGGACATCCAATCTACATTGAAATTCCCTCTAACCAGAGTCAAAATGGCCATCATCGAGAAATCAAACAATGACAGACAAATACTGATGAGGATATGAAAGAAGAGGAACCCTTATTCGCTGTTGGTGACAGCAAACTGGTGCAGCCTTTATGGAAATCAGTGTAGAGGTTTCTCAAAAACCCAAACCAAACCAAACCAAACAAGAAACTAGAGCTAGAACTACCTGTATGACCCATTACTGACCAAATATACCCAATGGACCCATTCAGAGAGACTTCATCCTACTTCTGAATACCTGCTCAACCATGCTCATTGCTGCGCTGTCCACAATAGCTAAGAAATGGAATCAGCCTTGATGGCCATCAACTGACGAATGGATAAAGACAATGTGGTACAGACACACAGTGTATTAGATTCACCTGTAGAGAAAAGTGCAATTAGGAAGCCCACAGGCAAATGGGTGAAACCAGGGGAAAAAGTATAGCGAGGCTTAGAAAGAGGAACACTGCAAGTTCCTTCTCATTTATGGAGCCTAGCTTCAAACCTTTACTTTGTGTAATTAATCTGGAGTACCTATGGAAGTTAAGAAGGGGCTACTGGGATGAGGGAAAGCCTTAAGGCGTGCAGATAGCAACACACAGGTGATATGAAGACAGGGGTGGGGGGGACTGCGAGGGGGAAAGTTTAAGAAGAGATGGGTGTGGGTGGATGGAGGATTCAGGAGGGGAAGGAGTTAACCAAAACTCAAGGATGTATAAAAAGGCCATGTGGACACTGACTTTTCAGGCCAATTTAAAACAGAAGTTAAAGAAGATTTAGAAGAGTGCTATCCCATATGTTTGGAGAGTGTTATTAAACAAACCCTAGTGCCAGGTTTGAGATACTTCCCAAAGAGTTGTCATCGGCCAAAGAGGCTCTGGAGGCCTCCAAAACAATTACAGGTTCCCACCACCCTTCTGGGTTGCCCACAGGGCTAGCTGATTAGACCTTGCTGCTAAAGACACCACACACCTTGTAAGGAGTAGCAAAATCAAGGTAGAATGAAGCTGACAGCTTCTTCCCTGTGGCTAGTGTGGCTAGTGCTGGAAGGTATTCGGTAGGTAGCTGGGGAAAACATGGCAATGGTCTTTCTTTACTGTGAACTCTATGATCAAATAAATTTTGGAGCCAAACACATCAATATCTTTTGTCTTTCAGGTTCTGGCATTGCAGACAAGAAATTTCAATTCATTTTGTATGTTTATTCAGTACGTACTATGTTCTTCAAGCCCTTATGCAGCAAGAACCAAGCCAGTAAGCCAATATCTCTAAGGGATCACAGAACAGTCCTGATAGCAGGAACAAGAGAGCCACATGGAGGCTGCTGAGAGTGGGCTGTACTCAGGGACCGAAGCAGCCCAGCTTGACTTGTTCTCTTAGAACATAAGATTACATATTCTGAGAGTGTAGGCAGCTGATGTTTGAAAGCTGTGTTTAGTATTTCTCTCTTTATCATTATCAGCATGCTACTTTCCATGAGTGGTGTGTGTGTGTGTGCATGTGTGTACATGTTTATGTATTTATATATATGTGCGTGTGTGTGTGTGTGTGTGTGTGTGTGTGTGTGTGTTCGTGTTCATGTGCTTCCTGGGCTAGGACCACTGGTGAATCTTCACAGGATTTAACACTCTGGGCTTCGTGGATCTGAAAAGGCTTTCCGAATCATTACTGCAGCATGGATGACTAAGAACACTACCGTGGGTTGGGCTTCTGCCACTCTGCAGGCAGCATAAGGCTTTGGAGCACTGTATTTGGCAGCCTTCCCTCTTCTCTGAAAGGCACTAAAGTATGCCATACCAGCAAGCAGGTTGGGGGACCCCTGACTCAAATTGCACATAATTTCCTCAATTGGGTTTCATTTGCTCAGGGAACTGTATTAACATTAGGCACTGTGAAAAGAAAAACTCATTCAACCCTCAGCTTTGAACATGATAATCTGGCCTTCAATGCTGAGAGACTTTTGTAGGAGAACTCATTCTGGAAAGATATTTTGGGTGGGAGCTACTCTTATTCGTTCATTGACAAAGCAGGCTGCTACTTAACTGAGGTATTGTTTGCAAGACAGATTACAATTATTTATTTTATTTCAAACACAGTACAAGGTCAATCTAAGGACCTTACTCAGAGCCACAATGTACAAAATGAGAAAGAAAAGACCCTGGGAAGCAGGGGTACCACGGAAGCAGGGTACCACGGCTGTCATGCTGAAATGCAGTAGAGGTGGACACCAGCATGCCATACCAGCCTTGTTGCCTTCAGTTCTGGGGATGGGAGCTGGAAGCTGGCAGTGAAGTGCATGGCAGCCAGAGAATCCCTGAGAGATGTGGCTACCAGATTCTATAATGGCATCCACTGATCTCTAACCAGCTCCTTGCAGTATCCTTCACACTGCAGACCAAAACAAAACAAAACAGCACAGGCTCCATGTGTGGACAGACTTTATATGAAGGGGCTCCATATTAGCTTCATTTTGCCATCAAGGAAACCAAGGTTTGAAGAGAACAATAGAGCTGGTTTTGGATTCATTAAAAATTCTATTTGAATCTATCCTCTTTGAACATCTCATGATGATCTTTGTCAAAGGTTTCTAACTTGTTATAAAATTTTGAAAACTAGGAAAAGAATCCCTACGTCACAACTCTGACATGGTGACTACGTAAGAATATAAGCTGCCTTCTTGGCTTTGGATTGCCAATAAAGATCACAGATCTGACACAATTAGGAGACTTGACATTCTGGTTGTCACGCAAGAACCCCTACAGTTCTTTGGTGTTTTTACATGTTGCAACAATAATTGCTTGAAAGCATTTTCCTGGTTGGATGAACCAGGACAGTATCGACATTCACTTTCAATGCCTTGGGCCATAGCAGTCAGTATCGTGAGGGAACCCAGGGAATGAAAGAGCACAAACCATTAGTAGTGGGCTCAGCCCGAGCGGCTGGGGTGTGGAGGATGTTGGGAAGATGTTCCATTCCTTACCACTTCACGCTTTTCCACCTCAAACCAGCGGGAGATGCCAGGTAAACTCTGCACCAAGTAGAGTGATGTTCTCTCCACCCAGAGACTCTGCAAAAACATAACTCAAAGTCACTCTCTATGTTGCCCTTCTTTCCAAGCCCTGAGCTGTGACAAGTCTGCTCGGGGGCTGCTTATTCCTGCAGCCTTTCTTTAGTCCCCACTGGAACACTGGTGAAACAATTGCAATGCTATGCAGTGACAGCCCATTCTAGCTGGAACCTCCTCCCCTGCAGTGCAAATGAGCTCCAGCCAGAATACAACAGCAAGCTGGATGCAGTCTTCTCCACAATGTGACCTTAACCTTTTCACTCCTCAAGGTTTAGCCATTTCCAGCTAGAAGAGGCAATAATAATATGAGCTATCAAGACGAGAGTGACAGCAACCTAAAGGGAGAAAGGACCTTAGGATTACTTGACTTGAACCTTCTGTTTAAGAGGAAGACTTGAAGTTGCAGAGAGACTCTTGACCCACTCAAAAGCCACATGCTAATTACCAGAAGGACTGGCACTGACACCCACCCCCGAGCCTCATCCTTTCCATTGCCATATGCACAGGGCCACACTTTTGGTGATAAGCTAAACTGCTGTAACCCAGGGGCACCTGTGTGCTTCGAGCTGGCCCTCTGACCAGAAACCAGCTCCTCTGGGAGACATGAACACAGCTGCTTTTGGCACCAGCCATTGTACGTGACAAGGTTTTCTTTTATCAATCAGTTTGGGATTTACACATTATCCTAGTTATTTAGTGTGCTACCAAGAGGAACGGAACTTGGCAAAATTCCTGAAATTGCACCATTTATTCAAACCACAGAGGGGTTAAAATGTGGGTGTCCTTCCACCAGTGAAAGAGCTGCTGAGATGACAACGGAAGAGTCCCTGTGATAAGAGCTTGAGGGACCTGCTGATGACAGGCAAGCAGGCAGATAAGAGCTCAGAGGGATGAACAGGATGTTCAGGGTGGACATAGGATGCAGATAGTCATGCCATCGTGGGAGATCAGGGTGGCAGCTTTCTGAGTAGTAGAGAAGTGAGCTGGATTTTACAGAGTGAAGAGTTCACCGGGAGGAGAGTGGGGGCTGCTGTGCAGGCAGAAGGCTGCCCACACAGACATGTAACTGCTTATGAGAGGGTACGGCAACCAATGAAGAGAGAAGGTGGGTGTCGCTGGAGCCAGGAGGGAGGGCAGGTAGGCGGACTGTGGAGAGGACAGGCTTGGGGCAATGGGGTACAGTAGGAGCCCGATTCTGAAGGCTATAAGCATGGGGAAAGGGAGCCTGACCTAACCCTACCCATTCCAGTAAGGTAGCTGTATTAATCATTAATTGCTGGCCAGGTGGAAAAAGCAAAAGAAAGGGAGTTGGAAGACGTGGGTTCCAGTGCTAGGTTAAAGGTCATGGGCATGTGACTCTGTGCAAGCCAACTATAGGACTCCAGTGCCTCCAAAACTGAGGACTGGAAGTTAGTGCAAGGAGAGAGAATTGTATCGTAATTAATTAGATCTTTAGTTGACTTGGTAGGAGGAAAAGAGAATTAGAACTATGCAGAAAGGACTAGATAATGATTTCAGTAATCTCTCAGTGGTGTTTTAGGTCTCTTTACTGTTCAATCCTCAGGGAGAAGAGGCCAGTGGGGCAGGCTGGTGCTGGTTGGTTCTAGTCTATCTTTTGCTCTTTTATCATTCAGCCTTTTGTGATTAGATTTCTGAAGGGATCCACAGTAAATGCACATCAAATGTTTCACAAAAGCCCACTTTTAATTCAGTCTCCCCAGAACTCTGCAAAGCTACCACCACTTCCCCTCTGCCTCTTGGCTGGGAAGAAACCCTGTAGTTAACTACTGGCAGCAGTGGGGACTGGTGAGCAAGGATGTGGGCCTGTGAGAATGCTTGCCCTTTCTGGTTGGGAGCATGTGGAACTAGCCAGGTACACTGGATATGGTGAGGAAAGACAGGCCAGCACAGGCAGAGTCCAAGATGTGCATGTACTCTGGTCCTCATCTCAGAAACGTAATCCTGCTGCTGTAATGAGGACTGGAACAAAGGACAGAGTAAACTCCACAGTACCAACTGTCTGCCTATCCTTTGGCTTTTCTTTACTCGGTGTGTCCTTGATGTTAGAATATATCCACCGTGCTCACAATGGCCCACCATGAATGGACATGAGCTCAAACAAGAGTTTAAAGAATGCTCTAAGCATCCCGGCTGCTGGAACTGCACAGAGAAGCTGACTTCAGGAATGCATCCAAGATCTGCTCAGATTTTCTTGGCAGGGGACCACACATCTTCTTGCCTGGAAAGTGTTCCCCATCAGATGGACACACTGCAGAGGTGGGAACTACTAGGATGAAAGATTTCTAGACCCTTTGTTCCAGTCATGTGACAGTATGCTCAGTCACTATTTACCAAGAGTCAAGAAAGCACACGAGGAGGCAGCATGGTAGAGAGCCTGCCGGGTACCTTGAATTCATTCTCCTTGTCCTTTGTGCCTTTGTGGAATGGCCTGTCATAGCGGAACTTCCAGATGTGATTTACTTTGTAGAAGCTCTTGATGTTGTCAGGAACCCCCTCTCTCTGCAGTACTTCCTGGCTCTCTGGAATGGGAGTCACAGCATAGATCTGCAAATCTAGAGTAAAGTGTTAAGGATGAAACCTGACTTGGCAAACAACAGCAAGGCATTCTGGGTAGCAACCTGGTGTTTCCATTTCAGCTGAAATCATAAAAAAAAAAAAACTGCCCAGGAGATATGAATAATGTACTTCTAAGCATGCCTTGGTCCTAAGCATGCGACTCTGATAGGACATGTGTATGGCATTTCCATAACCGGTGAATTTGCAGATTACTAGTTTAGTGGGGGTGGCTTGGGCATTCAGAACCAGAACAACCTAGTTCTTGTACATGAGATGCCTTTAGTCTGTTCATGGCTCCCAAAATTTATTTATAATGATATGGAAATCCTCATAAGACTATGACCAAAGGCAGTGACCAGAACACCAGCAAGGGCTTGCACTTGCCAAGTATTTCCGTGACCTCAGCCTTCCCTAGCTGTAGCATCCATTCTCCAAACCCAAGTACAGATAAGCAGGGTGTTTGGTTGTACTTCATATTTTACATATTTTATTATACAGTTACTTCCTTCCCAGAGAAACAGAGAAATTTTTTTCTTCTTAAACAATTTCTTATTTCTCTTGCATTTAGGTTTCTGCTTTGAAAGTATGTCCATAACAGTCACTGGGAGTTTCTATGTCCTCTTTAAAACCACAGGTTTAAAACCACATGGCTTTAGAAAGAACTGATGGGTGAATTGTCTTTGTGCTGAAAGCCATAGTACTTCCATTTGACTTGTCTATGTTTAAATGGTGGGACTGTGAAACATATGCTATTAAGTTAGAGTCCAGAATAGCATAGCTAAGAGGCCCCCCAAAGATAGTGGGGGTACCTCTTCTTTTCCCTTTCCTCACTCCAGAATTAAAGTATAAAGAGAAGAGGAGGGTGGAGGATATGCAGTAGTGAACAATGCTACCACTTCCTTGAACTTTCCATAGGAAGTTGCAGGAAAATTGTATGGAAAATCCAGTAAAGAAGAGCTTTAGAAGCAGGGCTGGATCTGCAGGCATGTCAGTTAAGGGCGAAAAGTTTCCCTAACGGATGTGTAAGGAATCTCTTTCCAACTGATCCCATGATAACCATGAGAATAATTACATCCTGTTCAGAAGGCACTAAGGTGAAACCAAGATGATGAAGACTAGGAAGGGTAAGCGTGTGGCCACTGAAAAGGGAACGGTGGTTGCAACACTAAACAGGACATGGCCTTGTAGCTAATGGCAGACACCACCCAACTGGAGCCCAGCCCATCGGGAATGGATACACTGAGCCTCCGCCTGGAAGATGGTCTCATCCGGCTGGTTGGCGTGCTGCATGGCGATGGCATGGGGGAACTCGTTCAGCATTCGCTGTTGGAAGGCCTCCAGTCTTTCGTAGTCATGCCCGCGACATACAAACTCCTTATTCTAGGGTGCAACCAAAAAGGATATATGACTGTGGCAACAGCTAACCATCTGCTCCCACATCACAATATTGCAACATCAATAAACCAGAACCATCTGAAAAATATGCTCATGAATTAAACATGCTGGACAAAGGGCAAGAGGCTTACTTGTTATTGATTTTCACTAGACCCAATAGCATGCTCTGAATTCCAGATTCATTTGCATGAGGGATGGAGAGGGCCTGATACTGAGCATCAAAGACAAGAACCTAGCAATGTTTCCTAAAATGCTAATGTTGGAGATGATTTTTATAAAGTGGACATCAAACTCATACACATAAATCTCCAATTACTAAGAAAACAAAGTAATGCGATAACTAAAATTCCCTTTTACTAGATTATTTTTCTGAAAGTATCTGAGATCAGCTTTATCCTTGGGGGGGGGCACGCAGGCGGCCCATCTCTAGCCTTTAGAAGGATGCAGGGACCAAAGGCAATGTGACTTCCATGCCATAACCAGCTTAGCTCAGCTTGCTAGAGCTAGAAATCCTCTTAGTAGGGCCTTGCTAAATGTTTGCTTATTTTGTTTTGCTGTATCATGCTATATTCTATTACTTTATTCTAGAGGTCAGGGCTCTCGAATCCAGGTAAGAATGCTGAATATCAGTGCCAGAAAATTGGCTCAGAGGGTAAAAGTACTTGCCAGGCCTGAAGACCCGAGTTTAGTATCTGGGACCCAGATGGTGACAGAGAGAAAGAACTAACTCCAGCAAGCTGTCCTCTGACCTCCATACATGCACCTCTCATCCCAACACACAATAAAGTGTTTCAAAATGCCAAGAGTTATTTGAGCTAGTCCAGAGAGCTGCAAAGAAGGGAACATTTTCAAGAAGTGTCCTAATAACTATGTGGAACACTCTTTGATAGTTTAATGACCGGAACCTATCACCCAATTTATGACTCACTTCCTTCACCTATCTCCACCTCCTGAGTACTGAGACGACGACATGTATTCATCACTCACGCCTAGTTTAAGCAGTGCTGGGGATCAAAGCAAGGGCCTCCTGTAAGCTAGGCAAACCCTTTGCTAACCAAAGCTACCTCCTAGGCACCTAGCATACTGCCAAAGTTCTCTAGCTTGTGGCAGGTACATATACTTGTCTTGTTTTTGTTGCTGGGTAGTAACCCATTGGGAAGGTATATTACATTTGACCTGTGCATCCATCACCCGATAGATATTTGAGCTTTTTCTAATTTCTGGATGATGTGAACAGGGCTGCTATGGATATTCAGATACAGACCTTCCTATAAATGTTTTCAGAGTTCTTTTTTAATGATGGAGAAGCAGAACTGCCCAGTTATAAGGGTCAATATTTTCCATTTAGGGGAGGAAATGACTACTTAGATTATACAACTGTTTCAACTTACTAGAGCTTTTAAATGTTTCCTGAAATTAATCAAACAACAAATGGAAATTTTTAATCTTGGTGATTATTTTTAATTTGGAATATAAAGGGGACTGGAATTCTCAAGCATGCAATGTTCCTTAGAAACCAAGAGAGGGCAACCCTTCCCTTTCATTTTGAAGTAAATGATGATTATAGAAAAAAGGCTATATTCCAAATGACTGATAGTAGACACATCAATTTATTCTAATTGCCTATTAAACAAAATTTGGTCTATTTGGTCAATGTAGTTTTGGAATTTGCTAAACTTCCTTTATAATTTGAGCTTCTAGATTACTTTTGATTTTTAAAAGCATACTGTCTTTAAAGATTGACTTTAAAAAAATATTGTGTGAGTGTATGCCACCTGTTATATAAGTGCCCACGGAGGCCAGAAGAGGATGCTGGACCTCCTGGGACTGTTCTTAAGGCAGTTTTGAGCGGCTTGGCATGGCTGCTGGGAAGCCAATTGGGGTCCTTCTGGAAGAGCAGCTGCTCTTAACCCAAGCCATCCTTCTAGCCCTATACACCTTTACCTTACAGTAATTACACGTCATAGATGGGAATCCAGGATGCTCAATGTATGCTTATAACTAAAGTTGGATCTTAGCCAGCACTACATGACTGCTTTGTTGCCTTCAGCACGTTTACCGTCATGGGCCTCTTCCTCCATAAAAATATAAAAAGATTTATCAGATTACTGGTTGGTTAGAGATAGACACATCAATATTGACAACATTTATCAATATATAGGATGGATATATATAAATATATATATATATATATATATATATATATATATAATTTATAGAATATTATTAAATTTCCTTTACTCTAAATGTTATTTTGTTTTCTTCTGACAGTTTAAAGAAATAAAAAGCTTTTTGGGTCCCTAAAACTTGTATGGTCTCTAAACACTATACCTATAATGTACAATGGATTAGTCAACTCTTGGCAATGATATGGAAGAAAACGTAGCCTTTCATATTGTACAATTTTGTATCAACAAAGGAAGAGGCCCCCCTACATCAGAGGCATACTTTGCCCCTGCTTTGGGAGTCTCTAGGCCCCCATGTTGCTCACTGCTCCAGAAGGCCACCACTCTGCTGACAACCAGGTCCCAGGGCTCTGTTCTTCAAGGGGTGCTGACACGAGACCAGGACTGGCCTGTCCACATCTAAAATGTAGTCTTTTCAATTGAGTAAATGCTCTGCATTTGTCTTAACTTTTGATGGGGAACTGATCTTTCTTTCTCCTTCAGGCAGACCTACCTGCCGATTCTTGTGCATTTTTCTTTTCAAAGTGCAACAAGGAGATTTTATATAATGTCTGTACAGCACTCAAGTACATGGTCCTTTCAGGCAATTAAAGAAAATGTCAGCTCACTGTCTGAACACCTTTTCCTATTGTTGTGGCAAAACCTCTGGACAAAGGCAACTCAGGGAACGAGGGTTTACTCTGCTCATAGTTGTAGGGCACTGTTCTTCATGGCTGGGAAGTCATAGTGATAGCAGCAGGCCACATGTCAGTCCACACAGGAAGAAGAGAGTGCTGAAAGTTCCTGCTAAGCTCATTTCCTCTTTTTCATGTAGGGCATTCTCGAGCATAATCTAGTCTAAAGATCCCTCACACAAGTGCCTGCAGGCTTGTCTCCCAGGTGAGTACAGATCCTCTAAGTTAACAGCCAACAACATACCATAACCATCACACAATTCGAAACATAAATATCTACTTACATCTTTGGATGTTTGGCTCATTCTATCAACCAATCATTTATCTACTTTATCTAAAACGTAGATAAGTTAAAGATTAAACAATAAATGAAGTCTTTCTCCTTTTCCTTCTCTGAGTATGCCACCTTGTCTTTTCTCATACTCTTACAGTTACGGCAGGATTTAGATCAACATAAATATTTTAACATTGAGATTTGAAGTTGTAATGCACTCAGTATGGGGTGTGTGTGTGTGTGTGTGTGTATGTGTGTGTGTGTGTGTGTGTGTATGTGTGTGTGTGTGTGTGTGTGTATGTGTGTGTGTGTGTGTGTGTGTCTGTGTGTGTGTGTGTGTGTGTGGTGTTATTTTGAGACAGTCTGGCTGGCCTTGGATTCTTGATCATCTTGCCTGTAGTTGAGTGCTGGAATTATAGCCACTATGAGTGGCTGTTTGTTTTCTAAGATAGGATCTCACTCTGAAGCCCAGGCTGGCCTAGAGCTCATCACATGGCCAAAGCTGATTGTAAAGTTGTGGCAATTCTCCTGCCTCAGCCTCCCAACTGTTGGCAGGCCATGATTCAGCTACCATACTTGGCTGACAGATAGATTCAGTTCATCAGGAATGCAGAGAACTTCTCCACAGTGCCCTGAGGAAGGAAATGAACTCTTTCATCCAGTGTTTCAAAACAGGGAGGATGCTACGGACAGAGGTTTCCAATGAACACATGCATATATAAAATATAACATGGCTAAGTGTAAAGAAAGTATTTTATATCTACCACACAAGGTCTCCAAATTGCCCTTTGTAGAAACAGTTTATACAGGCAATGTATCAGATGTCTCTGCTGGGTGACATTTACTTTTTTACATAGTCATCAAAAAGGTCAGAGCACACTTTTCTGTGGTTCTGGAAGTAAGATTTCTACTTGATGTGACTCTGTTATTTCCTACAGTCTACAACTCCAGGCCCTCTTATTGACTACCTCTATCTTCTCTAATGCTAACTATGGAACTTGCACACAGAACACAACAGTGAATGCCACACAAGGGAAGTCATAATCACTGTTCCTAAAGTAAACTCAGAAACTGGTAGATTGTTTGATCTTGAGAAACTGTTCAAGACAAAATATTCTAGGTTCATAGTTTCACAAATTAAAAGGGTAAAAAAAAGAAAGTCATGATGCCATCGCCTCCTTGTTACTTATCATAAAATACCATTAATTTCTTAGTTTCCTTGATTGGAGGATCTGAGCTAGAAGGATTAAAGCCAATTAAGAAGTGTATTACTTACTCTTAAGAAAAATGGGAATTTTTTCCCGTAAAATCCAACTCGGAAGAACTCAGGTTCCAAACGCTGCTGGTCCATAATTTTGTCATACAAAGAGGCTTCCATCATCTGGGAAAGCACAGAGGAAGTTCTGTGAATTGCATCCCACATTTCAGCCTGACTAATAAAGGAACATACTTCCATATACAGGAGAAAAAGGACTTCTGATTCCCCTTTAAATATTTCCAGGAGAGGATCAGCAAACCAACTTCATAAATACATACTGAGTAAAAATTTCAGGTTTTGTAGGCTACATGGTCTCTCTGACAAGCCACAACTCCCCAGGACACAAGCAGAAGTTTACTGGCCCTTTAAAGGACCAAGGGTTTTACTACATGTTACCACCAGAGCAGAAAATTTCTATAAGCCTACCACGGAAATGTTTACAAGTAGAAATTAACATGAATAATTAGAAGCCAAGCCTTTTGGGAGAACGTCTGTGTGAGGTGTACTCTCAGCCGTGGATTTGCTCCTCCCTTGCACACACCAGTTCAGAACATGAGGAAGGTACAATTTTGTATAGGTGGGATGGGGGTAAATCACCAACCTGAGCCAAGGGAGGTGTGCACACAAAGTGCTGTCTAGGCTAAAAGCTCTTAAGTGTGGCTTTGACAATGTTCAAACTAGGTAGCACACGATGCTATGGCTTCCCTTTTGTGGTACTATCATCCCTGGGGCTTCCAGGGAAAGACTAATATTATAGTTGAAGGCTTCCCCCTCCCCCAGTAACACACCCCAGAGAGCAGTTGGTATGAAGTGCAATGCTTGGGGTTTATAAAAATCTTAGTGACTATGGCACCCAAGGGCTCTCACTGGTAAACAATGTAACCTCACTTCTGTTGCAGGGATAGGATGCCAGGAGGAGTTGAACAGCAATGTTTGTAAAGCTGTGGGCCCTGCCAGCATCAGCATGATGTACCGAGGTTAAAATGAGTTTATTTTTTCCTTTAGTTCTCAAGCTTAGAAGAAATATTGATGACCTACTGACATGAAATACTATGACAAAAGTAGAGGGTAAGTTCCCAGCAGGTGACTAAGATGCTTGTGGTAGTGCAAGGGGACTTGGCAAGCTGTTGAAAGCTTATGTTCTCATGTTTCCAATGGCAACCTCAAAAGTGGAAAGGAGTATCATTTTCACTTTAATACAGAAAAGCAAAGGATCTTGTCTTAGAAACCTAGATAACCTCAGCACTTATCAGGACCTTGAATACTATACCATGACACAAAATGCTGGTAACTCCCAAGAATAAGTACTGTTTGAACTTAAAAGCAAGGAGATACAAACAAATGACTCAGGAATACAGAATATTAAGATCCCTGAGTACCTGGCACTAAAACCCTGGTTTAGTGAGGACAGATTTCTGAAGGTACAGAGAGAGTTCATGTAGCATTTGTCCCTAATTTATTTTAACATGAGAGCCACCTAGCCATTTCTACAATTTTATTTTGCAGATTGTGATAGTATGAATTGCATATTGTCAGAGAGATTTCTGAATAACTGGGAAGCTCTTCAGTGTAGAGATTTCCACAATAAACTTAAAATATTAATCCTGCATTAGATTGTGCATTTCAGATGTGGGACTTTAAAAACAGATCGGGGGCTCTCTCTTTGTATGTTAAATAAAAGGACATACAGAGACCAATTTGCTCTTTTTTCCACATAAGTAGCTGAGTATGCTTCAGGGAAAATAACTTATCTTAGAACAAGTTTCTGCAAGGTGTATGAAGATGGTCATAGTGTTGATTTCCTACAGCCCCACTGGGACACCGATTAAAAGATCATCACACCAGATTCACAGTCACCCAGGTACTTTACCCTCATCTTGCTCAGGTTCCTGTAGTCATAGTAACTCTCATACTGCTCTGCAATCTTCCGGCACAAGATAATGCCATTCTCCCAACACTGTGGACCGAAAGCAACACAAAAGTAAGCATTCATTGCATTTCTACACCTCTATCCAAAGGTCAGGGTATGGATGCGTTTGGGTCATGAAGCCTTACTCTCTAAAGACTTTACAACAACCTAAAGTAGTAACACTGCCATTGTAACCATGAAAATGACATGGCAATTAACATGTAACTTGTCAAAACTCTTTAGAAAGTTAAAGATGACAACTCCTCATAACATGGTGTAAAAACCGTATTTTCTTGTGTCACAATCACACTCTGGAAACAACTATAGTTCACAATGGCCACACACATGGGTGCACACAGATTCTCAGTGCTCAGAAGGGAATCACCATTGATTCCTACAGCCCATTAATGCAAGCATGGCACCCTGGACTCTTTGCTTGGCTCGCATGTACTTACAAATTGTAAGGGCCATTAGGTTCTGGTTACATCAGTATGTTATTTTCAGAAGCAATGTTTCAATTTTATCATCTAACATACTATTAAAAAGTTTTTCTTCAAAAGCCCAGACTGTCAGTATTTGTGGCTTTAGAACTATACAACCTTTGCCACAATTATTCAACTCATCTATTATTATCTGAAATCCACATAGTTATGTCAGAATGGCTATGTTCTAACATGAAATTATGTATATAGAGGCAAATTTCATATAGTTTTCACATGTCGCATAGTATTCTTAATCTTTCCATTTCTTTCAAGCATTTAATAAATAAAAGCTATTTATGGCCTATAGGTGTAGGATTTTGGGTAGTGGTTTACATCCCTGACACATAGCACAGACTTTTGGGAATGGGTCAATTCATGAGATTTTGAAATAGCACACTGAATCAACCCTGGCGATAGGGTGACAGATGCCACAGCCAGATTGCCTACACAGAACCACAGCCAGACAATATGCGGAGAGTGAAAGACCTAGGAACACCCAATCCTAAACGGATGTCTCCATCAGATCCCTCCCCTCAGGCCTCAGGGAACTCTGCAGCAGAGGAGGCAGAAAGCATTTGAGAGCCAGAGGGACGGAGAACCAAGGACACAGGGCCCCTCAAGGACAGCAGGGCAGACACACATAGGAATTTACAGAGACCGATGCAGCATGCACAGGGCTTGCACAGATCTGTACTATGTGGGGTTCTAGAGCTGAAAGAAGTGAACACCTGCCCCAGCCCTAACCCAGAAGCTATCTCCAGTTGATAACCACTGGGCAAATGAAAACTTATTTTTCTCCAAGGGAGTCTCACTGGGAAAACAAACTAATCTTAAGGGCAGAGCCTGTGCTCAGCAGTAGATGGCCAACTGAAAGCAAACTCAATGGTATCTTTGAAGGTTCTTCGTCTCACAATGTTGTATGAAGACTTTCCCCGCCATGTCAAGGAATATTACTTTAACTATGTGAAGAGGTGTTACATTTGTTTATATTGCATTTGTTTAATTATGGAAAGATGTGTTTCTTTTTTACCTTGCCTGTCTAACCACTTATTGGTCTAAGAAAAAGCTGAACTGGCCGATAGCTAGGCCGTAGAGAGATGTGCAGGGCTGGTGGCAGAGAGAATAAGTAGGAGGGGGAATCTAGGCTTCAGGGAGCGAGATTAAGGGAGAAAGAGAAGGAGACCCCTTGGGCCAGCCAGCTAGGCAGCCATCAGTTAGTCAGACATGACTACATACAGAAGGAGAGACAGGTAAAAAGCTCTGTGGCAAAACATAGATGAAGAGAAACAGGTTAAAATAAATTCTGAGAGCTAGAGGGATAAGCCTAAACCAAGGTCAAGCATTCATAATTAAATAAGTCTCTGTTATGATTTGGGGCCTGATGGTCTAAAAAACCCTGCCACACTTCCCCCTTTTCTTTCTTCTTTTTTAAAAATTATCTTTATGTTTTAATTTTATTCTCATTCTCTCTCTCTCTCTCTGGTTGTGTTTTTATGGGATTCATGAGTGTGTGAATGAGTGGGTCTCTGCATTCACATCTATTTTTGCACCTTTGCTTATGCTCTTTTCCTTCTGTTTGTTTTGTCCTATTCTGATGTGTGTATCTGTTTTTAGCATATTATATTATATTATATTATATTATATTATATTATTCCCTTAGAAGCCTGTTTATTTTCTAGTGAGAGACAGAAAAGGGGTGTATCTGGAGGGCAAGGGAGGAGGGGAGGAGCCAGGAGGAGTAGAGGGAAATTTCATAGCAGGAGGGAACAAAGACATTCACGTTGGTATTAGTATAAGGCTCCATCACTGTTGTTAGATAAATAATAAAGGAGGATATAAGGAAGCAATGTACTTGCATCAAATGTTAGACCTCCTAACTGCGTTCTATGGAGAATTGACAGCCACTTGTGGTATTTACTTCTCTGCTTCACCCCCGTGATACGTAAGGCCCCCCAAGGATTCAAGCCACATTAACACAGGTATCAGATTCATAGTCTTTAAAAACGGTCAGAGCCCTCGATGAGGGAAAGGGACGAAAGGGACAGGCAGGAGTGCTACACTAACTTCAGTAAGTCAGTGAGGTGACCTTGAGCATCCCAAGCATTTCCAGCTACATAAGGGCTGCTACAAACTTCCTTCATTTTACCTTGAAGGTAAAGGTAGAGTGAGTGAGTGCATTCTAATTTTTGGGAGCAGGTGGAGGAAGACAGTAGTTTTTCAGAGAACAAATGGCAGATTGCTATAATCTGAATGTTGAGTTTCTCCAAAATTCTGATGCTGAAGTCCTAACTCCTCACATATTAGGAGACAGGCCCCCAGCAGATGACTAGCGTGCTTCTGCAGTGTGAGGACCCAGCTGGAGAAGAAGGAGGAGTGAAGAACAGGGGTTGGCAGTGCTACGTACTTTGCCTCTGTCAAAGTTCTGGATGATGGTGAGGTGCAGGTGCTCCTTGCGCTGCCATTCTGTTTGCATGGGGTAGGTCAGGAACTCCCTGAGGGGCCGATCAGACCACTCCAGCAGCTCATCATACAAGAGGAGAGTGTAGGCAGCCTCTGCATGTCAAGGAAGAGGACAGAAAGTCAGTCAGGACTCAAAATCATTTCCTTGCAATTAGGATTGGTTTCCCAAACTCAACGCTTATTTCGGAATTTCATGAGATAGCAGAAAAAAATGTCAGGAACACAAGAAGGAACAAGTTAGTGAATAGTGACTTCCTTTGGTGACAGCATCATCACAGATTTGGTTTGAATCCTGGTGTTTCTATGATTTTCTGTATCTCTCTTGTTTTTAGTTATCCTTGCTACAACACTCACATGATTTGGGCATGGTTAACCTGTTCAAGGAAGTCATGTCATAGCCAATTCAAAGATGTAGCGTGGACATGCCATTGTTTACAGGGACAATCATAAGTATGTCTCTTGGAGATGAGGAGACTTCAAAAGCAAGCTAACTAACTACTAACGTGCTGGCCAGTTTTATAATAGCCAGACTTATTTAGGAAGAGGAAACCCCTAACTCAGAAAATGCTCCCACCAGATAGGCTTGTGAGCAACATTTATTGATTGATAATTTGATGTGGGAGGGCCCCACTCACTGTGGGCAGTACTACCCTTAGGTGAGGATGGTTGGAGATAGTATAAGACAGCAGACTGAACAAGCCATGGGGAACAAACCAGTAAGCAGCACTCCTCCATAGCTTCTGCTTCAGTTCAAGCCTTCTTCAGTTCCTGCGCTGACTTCCTTAGATGACAGGCTGTGATGTGAGTGTGATGTAAATTCTTGCCTCACCAAGTTCCCATTGGTCATTATTCCAGCAAGAGAAACCCTAACTAAGAAGCTAGCTAACTGGTTACTTAAGGGATGTACGCTTGAATCTAGAAAATGGGGGCAGGGGGAGGGAGGTGATTAAAAATGTAGCCAGAATTTATAAAGGGGCACAAAAGCCAGAGAAAGCTGAAGTGAAGACTAAAACCACAGCAAACACCTGCATTAGAGTTGGGACTGGTGAGGTGCTGGATGAAGTACATGCATGGGGGCTGTGTAAATGCTACATGGACTATGTAATAAGACCCTCCTGGATGAACCCACAAGGTCTCCCTATGTATCCTTGGCTTGCCCAGAACTTGCTATATAGATCAGGCTAGCCTCAAACTCAGAGATAAACCTGCTTCTGCCTCCTGAGTGCTGGAATTAAAGGCATGCACCACCATGACCAGCTCCTGGTCCCACAAATCTCAGTAAAGCTACTGAAACCACTATTGTTTGGCCTGACTGGCTTTACTACATACACAGGTAAAATGATTTTCCATACACAAAAGGAAAATTGACATGCATAGTTGACAGATAGGGAGTGTATTTAATGTACTATTTACCAATTTGTAAGTTGCTTCTTTTCCTGAATAAAATTCATAACTAAATAGGAATAATAATAATAGAACCAGAATTAATGGTCATAGATAAAGGGCTATAATAATTTCCCTTCAAAAACTATAACAGTCAACTCATTTTCTTAATTGAAGGAAAATACCCAGCCCTTATGTTACTAATCCACTTAACTACCATATTTCATGTCTCTCCAAAGATGTAATAGTAGCTTTAAATGCAATCTAAACACATATTTTTCCTTCACTTATCGGACTTAAGGCAACTACATAACAAGTCCCAAGGTACTGGACCAAGTTTCTACTCTAATACTGCGATTTTGCCATTTCTACACATCAAGCAGTGGAGGAAGAAAAGCCCAGGTTCTGTCATTTTGCTTTTGTCTCCTACCCATAGATGACCCCTGAGACAGCCTCTAGCTGTCATCCTTGCCAATGATCTTGGTGAATATAAAGTCTCCTAGCTTTATTTTTTGCAACAGTTTCTGTAACCCAGGACCACTCTCTCTTCCTCTTGTTGGACCACTCTTTCTTCCTCTTGTAGTATGTGCCCTGCTCCCAGTATGGCCTTCCCTCAGTGTGTGTGACCAAGGCATGGCCTTCCCTCAGTGTGTGTGACCAAGGCATGGCCTTCCCTCAGTGTATGACCAAGGCATGGCCTTCCCTCAGTGCATGACCAAGTCATCGCCTTCTCTTAGTGCATGACTAAGGCATGGCCTTCTCTTAGTGCATGACCAAGGCATGGCCTTCTCTTAGTGCATGACTAAGACATGGCCTTCTCTTAGTGCATGATCAAGGCATGGCCTTCTCTCAGTGCGTGACCAAGGCATGGCCTTCTCTCAGTGCGTGACCAAGGCATGGCCTTCTCTCAGTGCGTGACCAAGGCATGGCCTTCTCGCTCCCATCATCTCCCTCCATGTAATTTAAGTAGAAATGACTCAGCCATTGTAGTTTCTAAGAAACCTTGGTAGCGGCAGGGCTCCTAGACTTAAGAGTTGAAGCCCTTGGGTGCTACCCTCAGCTTTAGAGGAACAGTGAGATGTGCCTTGGTCCAGGGAGAGCCAAGCACAAAGAAGATGTCCATAGTGTGCTTGCTGGCCTTCTTCCTGTGGAGACTAAATGTGAGATGGACAGGGTTTTCTCTAAGGATGAAAAAGGGTGGACACAGACATAGAAACAACAGAGGTTGTCATGGCAAACTGCTCTGGCTGTGCAGGAGAAAAAAAAAAAAAGGTTGCCATGGCAGGCTGCTCTGGCTGTGCCGGAGAAACAAAGTGGTTGCCATGGTAGACTGCACTGGCTGTGTAGGAACCATAAGCTCACTTTGGGGAGTGTGCTGTACTCCGAGAACTGTCTAGCCAACTGTGTTCCCTTCTTGGACCATGAGGATCTACACCAACTGGTGCGAGAGTCTGCTCCTTCAAGCCTGAGTAACTCCTATGTTCTTCTAGTGGCAGACATGCCTCTGGGGCCATCTCCCCTGTTTTTCCCGTTTCTTTTCCTTCTCCCAGCATTGGAGCACTTCCCAGAGAATAACTGAGCTAGTCTCAGCATTAAAAGGCTACTGGCATGCCCTTTTCACAGATGCCCATGCAATGACACAGCGGGCTCTGAAAGTCAGATTCATAGAAAGAGAGCATAAGGAATGGAGAGGTAGTGTTGAATAGGCAGAGCGTTTCAGTTGGGAAGCTAAGGAGAGTTCTAGAAATCAATGGCAAGGTGCATAAACTGCATGCTTGAAACTGTTTATGGTTGCCATTTGATGGTGGCACACGGTTTTAATCCCAGCACTGAGGAGGCAGAGGCAGGTGGATCTCTGTGAGTCTGGTCTACAGGGTAAGTTCCAGGACAGCTAAAGCTATATGCAGAGAAAACCTCTGTCTGGAAAAAAACCAAAAAACCAAAAAACCAAAAAAACCGAAATCAATCAGTCAAAAAAAAAAAAGACAAGATTATGGTGGAAAAGCACATGTGAATTTAAAAAGTTTCTAGCCCCTCTGCTACTTCCCAGACATGTCATCTTTAGAAGGTCAGGTATAGGTGAGTGACACCTGGGAAGTCTGAGAAAGTAGAGATACTGATGGGTACTGAGAAATGACTGCTGGCATGGAGATGTCAAATCACAACTCCTTCAGACTGTGACTGGGAAAGTGCTGATACACAGCTGAGGGGTGTGAGCATTTTGAGAGCATCACTGGACATGCTGATCAAGGGAAAGCATACGTGTCATGTGTGGCCCTCATGACACCCTCTTGAACAACTTAAAGTTCCACCTTTGTGTTCCTGGTGTTACAGTGTCCGTGCTGTTCTGTGCTCACCTTTGTGTTACCAATGTTAGTGTCCATGCTGTTCTGTGCTCACTTTTGTGTTCTTTGGGGGCTGATATGTATTGAAGAGGGATGGATTCCAATGGACAATCTTTTAAGGAGTTTAAAATTCTAAACAGAAAGTACCACTGCGTGGCTAACTACAGGCCACTCCATTATTCTGACAAGTGTACAGGGAGGAAAAGGATACACAAAAAGAAATAGCACAGAAGAATGGAGATGAATTAGGAATGCAAGGCAGCATTGGAGAAGGTTGAGAAAGGTTGAGTCACTTCTACAGAAAGGAAGGTTCTCCCAGGAACTCCACTTTCTTCAAGGACACACACAAAAATGAGGACATAGGAGAGAACAAACTAGTGAGATGACTCAGGAGGTATAGGTCATAACGTATAAGCCTGGTGACCTGAATTTGATTGTGCAACCTACGTAATGATGGGAAAGATAACTGACTCCAGAGTCTTCCTCTGTCCTCTGCACTAGCATAAGGTGCAAGCCCATACATTAGACAGAGGGGGGGGACACACACACACACACACACACACACACACACACACACACACACACACACTACTGAAAGCAAAACAAAAGAGACTGGGGAAAAGATGGAAAGGTCAGTTCAGCCTATGGATAAAGGATGGTAAGTATGGAGTTGGTGAGGGAACCTGAAGGATGAGAACCCAGGACAGGGTCTACTTCAAGGAGAAAGAATCCATAAACCTTAGGACTCAACTTGAAGGAGATTAAAAAGAGCCCTGGATAGTATCCAGGTCTCCAGACTATAAACAGATAGTGGGGTGAAGGCCTCGATTTGCCATTCTCAAACCCACGGAGAGGGTTCGGGTTAAGAGGACCAAGCACCTTCCACTCTATCTTTTCTAGTAAGCACAATGAACCATGTCAACAGAATAATAAGGCAATTCTTAGAAGATTCTGATAAGTAATTAGGAGCAAGTGGAGCAACTAGGAAAAGCCACACTTGAAGATTATCATAATATACTAAGTTGCCTACTGTTATTTTTTGCCTTTTATGTCTCCTATCCCAGACTTTCTGCAAATGGGACTGGACAATCACAGCCCCTGGAAAAGCTTTTCTCTTACAGGGCTGGAAAAAGGCTTCTCATGACATGGAGTTCTTATACTTTGTGTCTTCCTCCTTCTCTTCCAACCTCAGCTCCACAGCCAGACTCCTAAGAACTGGGAGTGCCTGGGCCATGGGAAGAGTGGGGAGCTGAACAGAAAAAGGAGCTCAAGAGAGATCTTTCATTTTGTATATGAAGTTTTGGGCCAATTTCCACATATCTGTGGAGCACACCATGACTGAGGTAAGCAACACACAATGGTATAGATCATAACCAAGGAGCCGAGACCCGAGTTGTGTGGTGCACATGCAGAGAACTGGAATAGCAGTGCAGAGGCCTTAAAAACCAGACATTAGAATCACAACCCCCCCAAAAGTGGCACAGGACCTGAGGTTCAAACCTAACTGGACTGATTGCCAAAATTAAAAATATCAATTTTGACAGAACGCTGAATCTTGTAACATAATGTTCAAGAGGTCCAGGATGTAATCTAAAATTACTTGGCATTCAAGAAACCAGAGAACTAAATAACTATCCAAGGGAAAAAGCAATTAACAGATGCCAACCCGAAGATGACTCACAGTTTGGAATCTTAGACTATGAGGCAGCTTTTGAAACCATGCCCCACATAGTAGATGTGAACACTCTTCAACAACTGAAAAGATGAATTCTTTGTATAGAAACTGAAGCAATGAGAAGCAAACAACAAAATGGAAATTTTAGAATGGAATACTAGAATAACAAAACAAACATTTTATTGGAAGGGCTCAGTCACTGAATGGAGATGATAGAAGAGAACTAGTGGCCTTGACATAAAGAAAATTAACTACCTGGCCTAAACCACAGACAAAAGTAAAGTTGGAGGAAAAATGACAATGAGGAGAGACCAAATACTCATTCCACAGCAGTCCCAAAAGAAAGGACTGGCATATAAAATATATTTTTAGAAAATAATGCCTAAAACTTTTCAAATTTGGTGAAAATTGGTGATCTATATGTTTATAGATCAGAAGAGCTCAGCAAACCTAAACATGTTAAGTTTAAAGAAACCATGCTATGTATGTCATAATCAAACCATTGAAGATCAAATACAAATTCTCAAAAGCAACCAGAAGCCATTTTGTAACAGGTCATTAAAATAACTACATACTTCTCACCAAAAGCAGGGAAGCCAGGAGACAATTACAACACTTTTGAAGTATGAAAATAAAAGAACTATTCACCTAGATTTCTGACTCCAGCAAACATGCCCTTCAGGGGTGAGGTATGCTATGGCTGGTCCAGGAATGTCCATCAAAGCCCCGTGTGTTAAAGTTCGGTCCTGGGTTTGAGAGACAGCTCATTAAGAGTACTTGCTGCTGCTCCAGTGGACCTGAGTCCCATTCCCAGAACTAACGTTAGCTGACCCTCAACCACTTGCAATTCCAGCTTCAAGGGATCTAACACCTTTTCTTGCTTCAGAAGGTACCTGCACATTTATGCTATTCACTTTTGCACATAAAATCTTAAAAGAAGAATCCTGGCCCTTACTTATGTCAGTGTTATGGAGAGAGGGTTGGGAACTGTGAGAGGTGGGGGTTGGTGGAAAGGTTTAGGTTATCAGGGCCACGCATAAAGAACATTGTGAGGCTTCTTTTTGCTTTCTCTCAAGTCATAGCCATACCACAAGTGGTTATGCTCTGCTATACACTCTCCCGCCATCTCCCCAACCTACTTTGCTACAAGCCCAGAAGTGACAGGGCCAACTAACAATGCACCAAAGCTCCAAAACTCTGAACCCAAGCAAACTTTCCTTCTTTTTAAGTTGGTTATTGTAGATACTGTTTCAATAACAAAGGTGGCTAATACAAGAGGCGATAAAGATATTATTAGATGGAGAAAAACTTAAGAGAACTCTTCACTATTCAAACTCTTAAAAGCACTGAAATTCTTGAGGATAAATAAAAATGGTAAGGGGAACTGAGAACTTCACGAATGAAGAGTCATCCAAGTGGCCAGTCTCTTAGTAAACATAGTACACCTAAAAATTCTTTAACATCAGTGTGCCCATGCAAAGCGAAGATGATGGCAGCATTTGATGGAATTTCCAGTGAAGACAGACAGACGGACGGACGCACACACACACACACACACACACACACACACACACACACACGTACCTCTCAGAATAGGGAAGACCCAGAGATCTATATGGTTATAAAGATCCCATGTTCAAATTAAGACAGCAAAAGACTAAGTGCAAGCATACTGTAAAGAGCTATGTATGTACTTTCATAATCCCAAGGGCGACCTCTGAGAGATCATTCAAAGGCAGGGTCAAAAATTTTGATTTTAAAAGAGAAGTGCCTGGTTCTTTGTCTCTAATTACAAAAAGCAGAGGAGTTATCATGTTTAATGCATCAGTAACTAGCTCACGTCCCTCAGTCTGAGCCCCAAGCAGAATTACCTGTGAAATTCTGTGCCTTGAGGTGCAGATCGTAGAGTTTGTGGATGTAGCGGATGTACATCTCCTCCTTGTTCAGCTCAGTCTTGTAGAAGTTCTGTGGAAATGAGCACAGGCCTGGTGTTTGCACAGCACTGAGTCCGGCAAGTATTTCCTTCTACTGTGTTAGAGTTCTATGTCTTCTAGGGCAGGAGAACTGATGCACATTTTCCCCTTGGAAGCATCTTTTTAATAATGAAATGAGGGGACTAAATGATTCTATCTGGTGATTTTGGATAAGATGGTAATAATTGGGTTATAATCAATGATTCGAATTTCTTCTTTCACTTTCTTTTTCTTTTAAGACAGAGTTTTGTATGTAGCCTATACTGGCCTAGAACTCACAACCTGACCCTCCTGCCTTAGAGTCCAAGAGCCTGAACGGCCACTATACCCAGTGGTCTCTTGTTACTTTCCATTATTTGTTCCCAGTTTAGCAGTCAACTAAGTAGTCAGCCTATGTAACTAAAATATTAAACATATGTAATAAATTACTTGTATATTCAACATGCAGATTGCAGCAAGGATATTTTTGATTTCATATATAGATATAAATATAGATATAGATATAGATATATATTCTAAGGAAATATCTAGGACATAAAGTAAGAATGTATACACAAGTTAAATGAGTTTTTCTTGCCATCATGTGGCACACGCCTTTAATCTCAGCAGAAGGAAGAGAGAGAGCAATCTCTGAGTTTGAGGCCAGCCTGGTCTACATAATGAGTTTCTGGCCAGCCAGGGCTACATCCAGAGACCCTATCTAAAAAAAAAAAAAAATCAAAACAAAATATAAAGCATTTTTCTCCCCTGGAAAATTGTGTTAAAAGAACGTATGAAAATGTTTGTTATTGTTAAGTTACATTTCTAAGTTATGTTTCCTTTCCTTTTTTCTTTTCTTTTTCTTTCTTTTTTTCCTGTTATTTATTTATTTATTTATTTATTTATTTATTTATTTATTTGAGACAGCTTTACTATGTAGCCCTGGCTGACCTTGAGCTCATTATATAGACTAGGTTGGCCTCAAACTCCCGGAGATCCACCTGCCTCTGCCTCTCTAGTGCTAGGATTAAAGCATGCCTGGCAATTGTAGTAAGTTTTAATGTTTCCAGTTTATGTTAAAAACATAGAGGTATCAAAAATTTTACTTCTGCTTATTATTAAGGAATGTGCTTACTGAAAACACTAAATGAAATAATAAATTTTGTTTTATAAATCTGGATTTTATTAAACTTTTCTAAACTATTTTACCAAGTTTTATCAAAAATCCAATTTTGACTTGCCTGAGCTGCAGGGGTGTTATGAAATCCCTGCTTTAGACACATAAGCTCAACTACTACTTCTTGTTGTTTGGCCTGAAGCTACTCTATGTGAAAGACACTGAAGAGTGACAGTTTCTGAGACAAAAAATGCCAGGAATGCTATAGGTTTCTATAGTTGATGAGCCAGGGCTTCTTACTTTGGACAAGTTGAGGGGGTAAACCTCAGGGCTGCATCCATGTATTCACTATCTGTCCACTCTCTGACTGGGATCCAAGCACTCTCCAGTATGCGGACACTCAGGTTGAGTTGAGTGCATTACTACCTCTAACCCACACCATCTGCTCTCTCCTTGCCTTTCATTTCCTGTAGATCCTGGCATTCTTTAAAAAGACAAATAAACAATGCTACTCAAACCTCCCTCATTATCCCCCAAATCATCTTAATTAGCAGGAATTGTACCATAAACACATCTCGCAGCCCCACAGCAGGTTTTACATTATTAAAGGATGATTTGCTCTAATAGCTTTCTGGTAAGGAGCTGTGTTCTCTGAGAACAAAAATAAGCGATCACTCTGGAAATGAATATTCCTCCTTAAGAGAAAAACAAAAGCCAACATCTCCCCAGCCGGCAGATGACAATCTCTCACATATGTCTGCTAAAAATCATAACACGAGAACAAAATAATAATTACAATTCCCCCAGTTAGTCATGTCAGATCTTAGGTGCTGTCACCAACTGCACATTGGAGCTAAGCTGGAACTGCATACCAGCAGACATAGAGGCACCCTGCTCAGGATCTGCTGCTGACCTCACAGGAAGGAGCAGTGAGGAGAACCATATTGCTACCAGAAAGCCTCAAAAACTTTCCATATGGAGTAGGAGCTAAAGAGATTAGCTTCAAAGTGATAGATTTGGGGTTTCAATAAGTATTCTTGTACTGGTTCAAAATTGGAACAGCGTTCAAAATGCTGGTGATTTCCTCTTTGTCACCTCAAAGCTCTCCGGATCAGTGTTGAGTGACAAGAAGGAACACAGGGCAAGGTATTCATTCTTGTACCAAAGGAAAGGGCTTCTTCTGTTGGACAAGTTGAGGGGAGGAACCTACAGGCTGCATTCATGTGTTCACCCCCGAAGAGAAGACCCTTGGAGAGAAGGTGAGGCTGACAGAACAGGGGTCCTGAGGAAACAGGAAGATGTTTTCTTTTGAGGTTGTTTATGAGCCTTTGTGCCTGGAGCTGGGGGGGGGGGGATAGCCTGGGCTGAGGATTCAAACTGAAGCTCACAGAGCACGTGGCACACATGCAAGGACATGGAAAAGGCAGAGGTCCCTGACTGTGATGGAAGATAGTCAAACAGCAGTGAGAAAATGGGAGGCTGACCAGAGCGAAGGGCTGTGTCAACCTGAGAAAGGACTGTGCGAGGAGAAGTAAATGGCTAGCATAGTTGATGGGCTGATGGCCAGGCCACTGCTGGTTCTAAGGTGGAGGGATTATATAAGTACATCAGTGTGAATGTCAATGACGCACCCTCAGAGCATGCTTAGGTCTCACTATTTTTAGGGGCTGGTAATTGAGATAGAATGTAAGAATTCATTAAAAATGAGAAGGAAGAGGTGGGTGTGGTAAAGAGATGTCATGAACTCAGAAGAGCAATATAGCAAAAAATTGGGGCAACAGAAAGATAGTCAAGTGAAAGTTAGATATTTGAAAAGGGACTGAGAGGAATGAGAAAAACCAAATTAAAAGAAAACAATGGGCTGAATGAAGAGCAAAACAAAATCTCAAGGTGCAAGCCAAGTACAGCTGCAAAGGCTTCAGGGTGTCAGGGCAAGGGCGCCAACAGCAGCACAAGTGTTTAGAACAGACATTGAAGTTCACGTGTTCTTAGGAACATAAGGAAAAGAAACCATGACATTTACAGTGGAAGGAGTTGTTCCTCAATTCCAAATGAGATGAAGGAAAATTATCGAAAGCATTAGTTTACCATTTAATAAAATACCAAAATTAATGTCCAATGTATGATTATTCTTTTGTGGTGAGATACCATTCTGTTTAATAATAAGGTATATGACAGTTTTTATAAATTTTGGTTGGTCCAGAGTAATTGTGGTTAAGACTGTTGTTCATATGTATATATAATACTTAATTTTACTCCAAATAAATTTTCCCTGCATGATAAATTATACGGTCATCTGGTTATAATGCAACTCTTGGCAATAGTGTGATTAAGAATTCAGTCTGCAAAGAGGCTGGTGAGTGAAACTTAAGTATATTAAACAGAAAACTTTCATTAGTTAGAGGAGAGAGAGTTCAGTAATAGCTATTAAAATGTCATTTATTTATTCTAAACTCTGTGAGGATGAGAAACAGAGAGGAAATAGTCAACCTCAAAATAAAGGGACCTCCATTTGGATATTGTGCTTTTCCAAGGAAAGTAGCTAGACTAAGTGGAGTAAGCAATCCAACAGGGGAGGACAGTGCCTTCAGTCCTCTGTGATGTCGCTGAGGTCTGTCCACCGCTAGCAGGCAACACACAGCAGGGAGCATCATTCTGCACTGGTCCACCCTGAGGACTGCTTTTCTGGGCTTCATCCAACCTAAAGCTCACTATGTTCTTTTAAAAAAACATTCTTGTATTTTGGTAAGAAACAATCTGGAAAGGGGCACACATTCAAGATCACACCAAAAATTAGTATTTCTGCGAAGAACAGCAAGGGTTAGGAGGAAGGGAGAACCCATCCATGTTACTAACCAGAAGGCTAACTGTGCAGCCAATCTTTTTACCATCCACTTCTCCCATTTTCATGCAGTCCCTAAAAACAGAAAGCGAGAGTCACACTCAGAACTTCCTTTCACGGGGAAAACATAGTTTGTACTTTGGTGTCTTCTGTGGGGATAGGTGAGGTGCTGCCAGAGACCAGAGAGTGTGGATTCCAGGGGAAGGCTACTGGGCTGAAGGTCTCGAACTGGACTGGGAGCAGAGACTGACCCAAGCTGCAGGGTCTGCTGAGTTTCCTCTGTGTGACAAGGACTTTTACATCTATCTATCTGAGGTGTAAAGGCAGCGGTCAGTCTGACCAGAGACCATGAGAAGGAGAGTGGTGCTCTTCAAATAAGACAGAACCACCGTGCATAGAGTTGGGACAGCCTGCTGTCAAGATGAATGAAAATAAAAATAAAAATAAATTGTATTCGGGAACTGTACCAGTGTGGAAGCCCCCCTTTAAAGAGCATGCCACGTTAGTACAATCTCTATTCCCATCCTCACTCTAAACATGAAGTCTAGATCGTCACCCTAAAGTATTTGGACCACTGACAATTTTTGAGTGGGCAAGTCTAAATATGCAAAGATTTTTCTTTTCCTTCTTTCTATTTTTGAGGACGGTCAAGGACTCTGAGAACTCTTTCAACTCAACAAGACTTTGAAAGACTTATCAAAAACAGAACTAAACAAACAAGGAAACAAACACCAAAGCCTGACTCAAAACCCTGAACAAGCTGGTTTGAAGTCCAAGTGCTGATTAGCGAGTCTTTGAATGATTAACTCAAGTGGAATGCTAATTATAGTTCAGCTGTTTGAGCTTTTAACTAGAATGGAGCCTATTTGGAATCTTAAGAGGCAGCTTACCTGTAATCTAACAACCTCTCCATCAGCCGAGTGACAGTGGCAATTAATGAAACGCCACTTTCCCTCCATGTTTCCCGCTCAATTTTCTTTAGTAGACTGGAAAAGAAAGAACCCAGGGCATTTTCAACATTTATTTTTATCTGTCACCATGACAACCATTTTACTTTCATCAGTACCTTAAATGCCTTAGCAACCACCGCAACATCTCACAAGTAGCACAATTTGCAAACAATGGCTTACCTAGGGTAGGGACCAAATAGTGGAATTCTAATCCAGGAAGCATTGACAAAGCAAATCGATTTTCAGATTATCCAAGTCATAAAATATGAACACATGCACATAATCATGCTTTCAAGTACACACAAGCACCTCACAACTCAAAGACATATTTTCCCTAGCTTTTCTGTTATGCTGACGGAGACTGGTGCCTTGCCACATTAAATAACAGCGCAGAAGCAAACACAGGAGTCCCTGCAAGTTTACTTCAGAGTAAAGAGATTGCTTTAGTCCCATAAAAATGTTTTCCTACCTCTCAGTGGAATGCATCTTCACCCAAGCAATTTTGCTGCAATGCAACTGCTACAGGAAAATCCTTGTACAGACGGTATGACGTTTTGCGTTTTCTCCCTTCACTTAACATTTGCCCACTCAATACATATTGTACTATCTGTGCACTCACTCAACGGTTTCATTCACTCTGTCATTAATCACAGAGCATTTTCTAAGTGGTTGTTACAGCAGATTGATGACGAACGCCCGTGCCACATCTCTCCTCCTACATTTTCCTCATCCTAAACACCTTGGAGCAGAGGCACTATGTCAACAGAAACAATAACAGTCATCATGATGAGGACCTGATTTGCTTTCACTCCTCGCTGCAAATTAACGCAGTACTTGGTAAAGGCTTCCCGACTGATCTTCCCCCAAACACAAAAGAACAGAAGTGTGGTGCTATCAGCATACTTCTTACCCTCTTATTTCAGTGATCAGCATTTTTTGTTTCAAATCTTTATTCTCTTGCATCTTGATTTTTTTAAAAAAGGAACAGTTTCTCTGTCTCTGTCTCTGTATCTCTCTCTCTCTTTCACTCACTCTCTCTCTCTCTCTCTCTCTCTCTCTCTCTCTCTCTCTGTGTGTGTGTGTGTGTGTGTGTGTGTGTGTGTGTGTGTTTCTTTATGGACAATGTAAGTATATTGTATCTGTACTTAGTTGAAAAAAAAACAGGAAAGGGGAAACTTTTTTGGCCAATGTTATTTTATCTGTGGCTATATTCCCTTCCAATTTTCTTTGCATCCCCACTTCTTTTTCTTACTAGTGTCAACCAAGTTCCCAGTGTTCTGACTTTTCCCCATGTCTGTTACATAGTATGTTTTCTTGACTGATTTTGAACTGTAATCTGGATTAAGAGTGGGTTGTTCAGAGGGCAACCACACATGGAAGGTGCGGGGCTTGACTGAACCTCCAGGAGAGGCCTCTTAGTTTGTTTAAAGGTATTTTCACTTATGACCTCTCAACAGCAACTGTTTAGAGTACAAGTGACAAACTGGTGTTGAACCAAGGTCTCACATCCTGCAAAATCGTGCAGGATACTACAGAAATTTCCCCAAGTGACAGCCCACACCTCACATACATAGAGGCTAAAAAACAAGTAACTCAGGTTAAGTAATAATTCTAAAAATACGCAGAGGCTTTATTTCTGACTGTCATTAGTTTGCAGCTTCCTGATGTAGTTGGAAATCAGAGCTACACCATTCTGTAGGAGAGGCATTGCTCTGCACACCCTGCTCCCTTCAGTGACTCAGGATCAAATGCCAGGACCATGTCTAGAGCCTCGTTCATCTGCATCCTTGGCCAGACTTACTCATTCATTTGAGAATCCTTCTGCCTTCTAGCTCACCTGGTACAACCCAAGGAGGCTATCAGCATAGAAAAGAGTCTTTCCAAATAACTTGGGTGAAACTGGAAGTTTTCTCTTGGTCTGTACCCGAGTTTTTGTGCTGGTCTCCTGGTCTGCAGTCATGCTGGGAGTATTCAGAAACCTTGTCTCATTCGTAAGGGACAGTTTCTCACACAGCTTTTCTGGATTTTGCAATGGGACTCTTCCATCAAATGGAGAGCAATTCAGTGACTTTGCTCACCATGAAGGAAATGGGGCTGGACAGTGGTAGTTTGATTTTCAACGTCTTTCTATATCATATAAGGATAGGCTGAGAAGATTGTTCTGAAATATACACTCTTCTTGAACAACCCAAACAGCAGATTTGAATATCTGAAGCATGGTGTTATAGAACTAGTCTCACCTCCAGGCACTGATGGAATATGCAATCATTGGTTAAGGTCTTTGGGATAATATGGAGTTCTGTTGGGTTGGACAGAAGCAGTGAGCATCTTCTAGGCTTTCATCTTCTCAACCAAGTTTTATACAAATTCAGAACAAACAAGAATCTGTTCCATAACAGCATGCCTTCCTAATTCATAAATGTGTGTAGCAACTCACTGTGATTACACTAACTCATTGTGATTGTTAGTGCAAAAAAGAAAAGGATTTTATTGTTTTTCACTTTCCTTTCTGGCACCAGGTAGTAATGTTATTTAATTGTCACTTTAAATTTGCTTTACTCCCAGTATGCTGACTATAAAAGCATTAAAGACAAAATATTCATAGCTTTTAAAAAATTCTATTTATTTTGGTTATATTATTTATTTATATATTGTAGTAATATGTTAAAAATCAACAAAAGAATAAAGAATAAAAATTCCCATTGAATGAATCAGGTCCCTTAAAATACCCCTAACTATAGAGGTTTAATATTTTAATTATTACTTTGATTCTAAGGTACATCTTCTGGTTCAAAGTCATATTTATATAAAATCAATCCAAATTGCAAGCTATCGGGCCCTTACTGAAGTAGATAAGAGGCATTAAAGAAAGTGAGCATGCATTTATTAATGTTACGAATTCATTATAAATAATTAATCACAAATCTCAAGGGGTTCATTCCACTGAGTGCGCTCGTGTTTAGCTCTTTGTTCTAACCAAGGACTAGTAACTGAAATGGAAGCATTTTTCTCAAAGGCAATTTATTATGTTGGATGAGGTTTTAATCAGAATTCTTGCTAAACTCCAGCTGTCATGAAAGACAGACACTTTGTGCACAAGAATGAACGAGAGCTTGGTGAATAATTAGTAAAAGTTTTGGTTTAATCGCAGTATCAAAAGAAAATGGTATTCAGGGTTTAGAATGTATTTTGTCATTCACCAGCACCATATGAAACCTCTGTAGCCCTTCCTGGATTTCCCTTTCTATATAGTTTTCCTGAAACTTCGAGAATGATTCTGAATCAGGCCAGCTAAAGACTACCCAAACTATCAATCATGGATAGCATTCTTAAAACCTGTACATTCATATCTCCACTGTTGCTAATTAACGATCTTAAAATGAACTTGAATCTTCCATTTGGTTATCAGTACCACTTAGGTGACAGTTGGACATAAATAAAAACACAGGTCTATTTTATGACGGAAATGTATCTTTTTGCACTCTTGAAGGAAATGCAAACATTTCCCAAGCTTAGTAACCTAATTTTCTACCTTAAAAGAAAAACACTTTGTAAAAACACTAGGTTTGAAAATGACTGAGAGCCACAAGATCATAAGAGAAGAAATGCCAACTGGGAAACCCCAAAACGTTCTCATGCCTCAACTCTGGCTGTTCAGACACAGTGAGTTGATACACAATACAAACAATCCATCCTGTGACTGTGATCATAGTTGGGACAATCTCAAAGGCCCTTCATAGAACTCCATTCTTTTCTTTCTATTCTCCTTGCAAATCCCAAACTCCAAACTTAATAGAAAAGATTTGCTTGGTGACCTCCTAATCAGAAGCATTCAGGAAGTATTTAATAATTTAACATTACTGAGCAAATGGCCACCATCAATGGGTTAAGGCAGGTGCTGAGCATCAGAAACAAACTAATTGTTCCAACAGCAAATCAGCCAGGGTAATGCTTTACAAAACACTGTATACAAATGTTATAATCACACCCTTTTCTTTCTCTCTCACTAATAATGCTATTGAAAATCATTATCTTGTAACAATAGTCTTGTTTTCCCTTAAAATTATCAAGCGTGAAAAGAGTGAGCTTTGTTACATATCACAGATGGCCTGTCCTAATCTGAGGTTAAAATAAGGAGACATGTCTAGTCATCAACATAATAAGATCCACTTGCTAGAATTAGGCAATTAATCCTTTATTTCACACTCCACAAAGACAAAGCTCTCCTATGAGACCCAAGCTGTCTCCGCGGTGCTCATCTACTGTGGTGCAGAACGGTTCAGGACTGACACCAGATGTCCTGAAATAGAACCAACTGCAGAGAAACCCATTACTCACATACTGTTGAAGAGCTCACGGTATGTTTCATCACCTTTGCCCTCTGACATCAGGCTATCCAATTTGTCAATTAGCTTGGCCTCCACCTGAAACACATCCAAATATTACTCTTTCTCTCACTTCCCATGCAAGATTTTTATAGGCAAACTGCAATGCATTTTTTATTTTCTTATGTCAGGGAGAGCTGCAGGACACTTTGTGAAAGTGACATTGTCAGCCATGGCTAATAGCAAGCCTCCCTTTGGAAGTCTAGGGGGCTGATTTAGATGCAGTTTGCATGACTTCATACTCCTGGCTGGCTAGCTTTCCCTGCTGCCAAAGACAGCATCTATCTGTCTGTGATCCCGACATAAATGTTAACAGCCCAATTTAAACATTTCAATTCTTTTTTAGGGACTATAAAAATTGGCAAGTCCTATTTCTTTTCTCTTTACATCACTATATCTGAGAACATCAGCAAACTAGCGTGCCCAAATACATTAATTTGAATCTCTAATGTGTTTTAATCTGTTTTCTTTCCTAAAACAGTTCGAGGTTGCACTAAATCTTTGCTGAAGTTGAGAACTCATCCTAGCCATGTACAGATGGTAGACCCACAGAAGTATTCTAAGTCAGCAGTAAGCAGCAGGAGACAGAAAGGACATATTTCCTAAAAGCTGTAGTCAAAACATTTATATTTTCAAGGATGTAAATTCTTTATAGCTTGAATATCAGGAAAGGAACAATTTTCCTTCATCTATATGAGGCAAGAGGAGAGACAAAAAAAAAAACCCTTTACCCAGAGTCAAAGTAACTCGGGCTCGGGATGGATATTTAACTTTGTCAAAGGACTGAGCCCAATTACTCCTTTAAACCAAATGTCAATCAAGAGATGAAGATAAGGGGGGGGGAGTGGGCTCCTCTACCAAGCACAGTTTGTTCCTAGCTGCTCGCTCACTCATTAGCTTTCTTGAAAATGAATGTATATACGGATACAAGTGAAATGCCCCCACTTTTGGCAACAGGAAAGATCTTTGCATGCAATCAAATTGTTATACAGTTGGCAAGCACTTTTCTGAGGTTTGAAGATGGCTTCATGTGGAGAATATGAAGGAGGGCTACACCCTGTAGGCAAGCAGGTTTGAGCAGTCACTCTGTGAATGCATGTTTCTCCTATTTCCCCCAACAGACCTGGACCAGCAAAAGCGACTGATTCTTTACAGATCTGGTTTTGCAATAAGGATGTCTATCATCCTCTAACTGGACCAGTGCTATTAGAACTTAAGCCAGCGAGAAAATAGGTTCATCCCCTTGGAATTTCCTTTGTGAGATTTTCCACTGCTTTCTCCTTCAAATTAATTTTCAATGCTCCAAGCTAAGAGCAATAAAACACACTGTGAGTCAAATGCTCAAAGCTAAGTCATTCACCAAACACAATGTGCAGACCGCTGAGAGTTCAATGGCTTAAAGAACCATTAACCTTCCGGTTCCTCTGAGCCGTGTCCAGCTGGGAGCAAACGTCCCTCTGTAAATTCTTAAATATAGACCTGGTAAGTCAAAGAAGTTTTTAGCTGAAAGGAATGAAATGGACTTTCAGGATTTCCCTGCAGGAAGGGAGCCAGAGAGATGCATCTAAGGCCACATGGTGTAGGGAGGACAGGTTCCCCTGGTTCTGGGTCCCCTGGGTCCAGTGTTTATTGCTCCACTTAGGGTTGAAGTGGGGAAATCTGAAGACACCTGAGGAGGGAAGTGAGACTCCCTGTCACTTCTGACAAGTGTCACCGCCTACCTGTTTGAAATTGCCACTCCTCCTCTGCTCCCAGTCCATCATATCATGGAAAATAGGAATCATGACATTCCGGAGATCTGGCTGGGGTATCAAGGTCACTTCTAGGAAGGGGCCAATCAGGGCAGGGATGAAATGAAGTTTGTGTTCTCCTAAATTAAGCAAAAATATTTGAGTTTCAGTATATTTAGTCTTAATAAAATTTCAAAAAGATTATTATTTTAAATTTACTGAAAACAGTTACCAGAAAATATTCAACTATAGTTATCTCCCCAGATAAGAAATAGCATACAATTACGATGACAGAAACCATAATATTTTATTACTGCACCTTCTTGTAAAAACATTAGATGCTGTATTAAAAGTGAAGCTGAAGAACAAAATTGAACTTTCCCAACATAATTAAGTGTAAGTGGTGAAAGGAAAGGCAAGACTATACAGGAGCATCTTTCACTCAAGAGTACATAAGAGTTTGGAGAGATGGTTCAGTAGCTCGGAGCACCAGAAGCCACACGGTGGCTCATAACCTGTAACTATAGCCCCAGAGGACTGTGGCCTGCTTCTGGTCTCTATGGACACCAGGTGCACAAGAGATACATAGAAAGAGAGGTAAGCAACACCCCAACCCCAACACACACACTTAGACACACAGACACACACACTCACAACACATTCTAACTCAGAAGATAGCTCTAAGGTAATCACAGCTGTTATCTCTGGGTGGTAAAACGGCAAATTATTTTTATATAAGGAAAACTTGCTTCTGTTTGTATTTTAAAGAAAAAAAATATAACACACAGCCTAAACAAAAGTCTAAATGTAACCCTCTCAAAGCCTTCAACTAGTCTCCAAAAGGACTAAAACATAACAATATTGAACTCCGAATGGTGTGCAACCAAGCACTAAGAGGTGTGGGAGCCATGACTCAGAGCAAAGATAGGCAGGCAGCGGTACAGACACAGGGGATTTTTACATGAGGTAGACTTCAAGTCCATTAGTCTATTAAATTTCACAGGGAAGTTCCTATTGATATTAAAAAAAAAGAACTACATGCCATGAATGACACATTCTTTTTCAGTATCATAGTCAAAAGCCCATGATGCTGAGGTACTCCCCTCCGCCCCCCGAGTGTCTAGAACAAGTTCAGGCTGTCAGGCTGAAGGTAGCTGGCTTCATGAAAGACATCAGTTTCCTCTTTAGGCAAAAATCACAGGAATGTTTTCTGATTTGTGCTATTGCAGGGTTCTGATTCTTTCACATGCTTAGACCATGAGCACTTTCATTATGGAGCTGAACACCTTAATCTACGTTAATATAAGCTGTAGACTTTTCCATGATACTCCCATGAGAGAACAGAGATGTTCAATATCTTTCCTATGTACACTGTGATCCACAGAGTCCATAAAACCCTTTAGGCCTCAACTTTCCTGGATAAGACACTATCTCAGTAAAATCAGAGCTCTGAGTTTTCAATTCATTATGTGATTATAAGCAAAAAAGGAGAGAAAAGTTGAAATGAGTATCTCTTTCCAGAATATGTTTTGGCAGGTAACAAATTATGAGTTTACTTGAGAGCCTGGAAATTTGGGGAGTAATAAGACAATAGAAAGTACTTTCTTTTGGTATGGATATATATTTTATATTTGTTTTATATTATGTTCAGCCATTAATATATTTTATTCAGGGGCTCAATAAATAGGAATGCCTGTATACTTTGAACAATTCATTGCTTGCAGACATAAAACATAACAGACACTGAGGCTACTGTAGAGATGCTCATCTAGTATCAAGGACCGCCAAGGATGATACAGCTCATTTGACCCAGGGAAACTGGGGAAAGCTGCTTGGACAGGTGTTATGGAATATTCATTTAATTATATAGAGATGTGTTATATTTGTTCATGCTGTGGGATATTAGTTTAACCATGGAAAGATGTGTTACATTTGCGTATGTTGCATTTGTTTAATGATGCAAAGATGTGTTGCTCTTTCACCTTTGCCTGCCTAAGGCCCCTGATTGGTTTAATAAAGAACTGAGTGGCCAATAGCTAGGCAGAGAAAGGATAGGCAGGGCTGGTGAGCAGAGAGATAAAATAGGATGAGGAATCTAGGCTGGAGGGGAGGAGAGAGAGAAGACAGGGGCCAGCCAGGGAGAAATTAGGAAAGTAAGACATACAGAATCAAGGAAAGGAAGGTAAAAAGCCCCGAGTTAAAATGTAGAGGAAGAGAAATGGGTTAAATCAAGTTAGAAAAGCTAGCTAGAAACAAGCTAAGCTAAGCCTGGCACTCATAATTAACAATAAATCTCCGTGTCATGATTTGGGAGCTGGTTGGTGGTCTAAAAGAGATACTGCTTCAGACAGGTTATTTCACTGGACTGGGGAATGAGCAGCAGCTGGCCTACCATATGAACAGAAGGGACTCCTGGAAACGGCATGGGCAGGATGCCGTCTCTGGAAGTGTGGCAGAGGTCAGGAAGAAGTTAGCAATAGTGGCCTGGGTATGTACCATGTTGGATGGGAAAGGGGGTATGACTTTTTAGCTGTGTGTGAAGGTGCTTATTATTGATTGATTTTGCAGAAACATCCCTTTGGGGGCATGGGAAAGATGTGTTATATTGGGAAAACTGATGACAGTTAGGTTATAGTAGACTTTAGTCTCAAAGCACCAGCCCTGGTAACAGGGACAGGAGGCCAGATTTGAGGGACATTCTCCTGGCCTAAATGTAAAGCATGAGTGAGAGAAAGATCTATTACTAAATGAGACCAACTTGGAGCAGGAGCAGAAACTAGTTTTAGATGGAGGAAGGATAATGACTTCTGCTTGAAGCCCCTTTGAGACATTCTCATGTGCATAATACATTACCCATTCCTAAAAGTCAGATTTAGGGCTCAGGGAACTTGCAGAATTGTGATCGATAAACAGGGACTGATGTTATCTAGTGAATTTTGGTAAAGAAACATTGCAGGTGGAGGGAAGATCTTGAATACAGAAGTATTGGACAAGAGGAGGCACCAGCTAAAGTGATTGTTGGGATATGTGAACTGCCAGAGAAGTGGAGGTGTTGGAAGAAGAGAGGGACAAGAGTACCAAATGTGGTGACTCACTAGTAATTTCAAGCCAACACTTGCAAGCGCTTGCTCGGTGGCAGGCAGGCTCTGGCTGCTTTCCAGGCATAACTCTATTAATTCGCCATGACAACTCGAGGCAGTAGGAACTGCCACCTCCAGAGAGGAAACAACAGTTTTGGGACCTTAAACAACTTACCCCAAACCACTTAACTAGTGCTCACGGCGGCTAGCATTTGGACCCGCCCATCAGGCTGGTTCTGGTTGGAAGTAGCTGTCCTATGGATGGGCCAACACAGGCTTTTTGGCTTGGCAGAAGAGTAATATGAAGGTAAACGAAGCTATGACTCAGAGGGTAGAAAGAAAACTTGAGGACGAAAGGATTGCCAGCTTATCCACTTGAAGGAGCCCGAGGGCAAGGCAAAACCAAAGACAAGACTCACTAAACTCAACTTCAAGACTTTGCAGAGAGGAACAAGCAACAGTTTTTCTTTTCACTGAGAGTACTCACACGCGCTTGCTCTCTGGCCAGCATCCTATCTTCTGGAAGTGTTCTTCATTTGTCATTCCACACAGTTAGCTATAACAACCTTCTATTCTGGCTTCAGGGCAAGCAAATATAATGTTTGTCTTGTCCAATACCAGCTCCATCTCTGAGCCATTCAAGACTTTTCTAGAAGGGCCTTTAAAAAGGAAATATGGTTTCTTCAGAAACCATTTTACTACTGAATGGAGACAATCCTTCTGAAACTAAGGTTAGCACTCAGAGTGAAGGATAGCTAAGACATTGTGAGCCTGGATTTTCTCTCTAAAAAACCCATGCCTAAAGCCAGGTCTACCAGCAGGCCTCCTAGCTATACAAGAGGCCATGAATTTTTGCATAAAAGATTAATCTGGGAGTTTGGGCTTTACTTTGCCAAACACAACCTGTAGATTTCTGATGTACCAGCTAGAGTGTGAATGTTTGCTCCCCCCAAATAGCTCATGAGCAGTATCTTGCCTGCCCACTAGAGACTGGAATCACAATAGGAGACAAGACAGTAGTATCTTGAATTGTGTCAGGATTTCCACTTATCTTGGTGGCTTCCTAGACAGAGGCCACTGGTTTGAACTATGTACTATCTTGCGGATACTTAGAAGGCTTCATATCATAGACTTTTCTAACAGTAGTAATAATGTGTTTTTGAGGCTTCTCTAATACCTGCCTCAACTATGACTAGATGCCCTTACCCTTTCATGTGTCTGGAGGGCCCTACAGGACAGAGATCCTCAAGATCTCTACTGTCAACACAAAGAATCCTGGGGTATTTGCTAGGCCCTTTCTTGGGGATCAGGAGCCCCACATGGGTCTCACATGGTATGAGAGTTGACCCCTCATCATAACTGGCAGTCATGTTGCTTCTGCCTTGAGCTTAGCTTCAGTGTCAATTAAACGGCTTAGCCAGGGCCTGGAGAGATGGTGCAGCAGATATGAGACTCGTTCTTATAAAAGATGTGTGCTCAATTCCCAGCACACATGCGATGGCTCACAGCATCCATAACTCCAGCTCCTGGGTGTCTGATGCCTCCTTCTGAAGCCTAGAGCACCAGGCACACACGTGAAACACATATATACATGCAGACAAAACATACATACACACAAATGAAATGAATAAATCTAAAAAAAATCAATGAAGTACTTTTAAAAGGTATTTTGAGAATAGAAACTCAGTCCTGGAAACAATTCGTAGGCTCCTGTCCTTATGAAAGTCCCATTTTTTTAAATCACTAAAGTCACAACACAGCCCCATCTTGTCTCACTGAGATTTTATCAATGGTATCTATTTTTCACCATCTTTATTTTGTTGTTAAATTAATTAGTTGATGTGTTTGTGCACACCATACATGGAGGTCAAATGACAATGCTCAAGAGTCTGTTCTCACTTCCACCATTTTATTCCAGGTCATTGGACTCAGGCTCTCAGGCTTGGTGGCAGGTGTCTTGCTGAGCCACCTCCCATGGTATCTTTAAATCTTATCCATACCCATAATGCATAAGGAAGGGACTTGCAACTTCTTCTGATATTCCTACCTGTATTTCTGAC